CAGTAGAAGCAGTATATGTCTCTCCTGTATTACTGTATTACACAGTAGAAGCAGTATATGTCTCCCTGTATTACACAGTAGAAGCAGTATATGTCTCCCTGTATTACACAGTAGAAGCAGTATATGTCTCCCTGTATTACACAGTAGAAGCAGTATGTCTCCCTGTATTACACAGTAGAAGCAGTATATGTCTCCCTGTATTACACAGTAGAAGCAGTATATGTCTCCCTGTATTACACAGTAGAAGTAGTATGTCTCCCTGTATTACACAGTAGAAGCAGTATATGTCTCCCTGTATTACACAGTAGAAGCAGTATATGTCTCCCTGTATTACACAGTAGAAGCAGTATATGTCTCCCTGTATTACACAGTAGAAGCAGTATATGTCTCCCTGTATTACACAGTAGAAGCAGTATAGTTCTCCCTGTATTACACAGTAGAAGCAGTATGTCTCCCTGTTACACAGTGAGGAGCAATGTCTCCTGTATTACACAGTAGAGAGCAGTATGTCTCCCTGTATTACACAGTAGAAGCAGTGTATGTCTCCTGTATTACACAGTAGAAGCAGTATATGTCTCCCTGTATTACACAGTAGAAGCTGTATATGTCTCCTGTATTACACAGTAGAGTAGTATGTCTCCCTGTATTACACAGTAGAAGCAGTATATGTCTCCCTGTATTACACAGTAGAAGCAGTATATATGTCTCCCTGTATTACACAGTAGAAGCAGTATATGTCTCCCTGTATTACACAGTAGAAGCAGTATATGTCTCCCTGTATTACACAGTAGAAGCAGTATAGTTCTCCCTGTATTACACAGTAGAAGCTGTATAGTTCTCCCTGTATTACACAGTAGAAGCAGTATAGTTCTCCCTGTATTACACAGTAGAAGCAGTATTTGTCTCCCTGTATTACACAGTAGAAGCTGTATATGTCTCCCTGTATTACACAGTAGCAGTATAGTTCTCCCTGTATTACACAGTAGAAGCTGTATAGTTCTCCCTGTATTACACAGTAAGCAGTATATGTTCTCCTGTATTACACAGAAGCAGTATAGTTCTCCCTGTATTACACAGTAGAAGCAGTATAGTTCTCCCTGTATTACACAGAAGCAGTATAGTTCTCCCTGTATTACACAGTAGAAGCTGTATAGTTCTCCCTGTATTATACAGAAGCAGTATAGTTCTCCCTGTATTACACAGAAGCAGTATAGTTCTCCCTGTATTACACAGTAGAAGCTGTATAGTTCTCCCTGTATTACACAGTAGAAGCAGTATAGTTCTCCCTGTATTACACAGTAGAAGCAGTATAGTTCCCTGTATTACACAGTAGAAGCAGTATAGTTCTCCCTGTATTACACAGTAAGCAGTATAGTTCTCCCTGTATTACACAGTAGAAGCTGTATAGTTCTCCCTGTATTATACAGAAGCAGTATAGTTCTCCCTGTATTACACAGAAGCAGTATAGTTCTCCCTGTATTACACAGTAGAAGCTGTATAGTTCTCCCTGTATTACACAGTAGAAGCAGTATAGTTCTCCCTGTATTACACAGAAGCAGTATATTTCCCCTGTATTACACAGTAGAAGCAGTATAGTTCTCCCCTGTATTACACAGTATAGTTCTCCCTGTGTATTACACAGAAAGCAGTATAGTTCTCCTGTATTACACAGTAGAAGCAGTATAGTTCTCCTGTATTACACAGTAGAAGCAGTATAGTTCTCCTGTATTACACAGTAGAAGCAGTATAGTTCTCCTGTATTACACAGTAGAAGCAGTATGTGTCTCCTGTATTACACAGTAGAAGCAGTATATGTCTCCCTGTATTACACAGTAGAAGCAGTATAGTTCTCCCTGTATTACACAGTAGAAGCAGTATAGTTCTCCCTGTATTACACAGTAGAAGCAGTATAGTTCTCCCTGTATTACACAGAAGCAGTATAGTTCTCCCTGTAAGCTTATAGTTCTCCCTGTACACAGTAGAAGCAGTATAGTTCTCCCTGTATTACACAGTAGAAGCAGTATAGCTCCCTGTATTATACAGTATAGTTCTCCCTGTATTACACAGTAGTTCTCCTGTATTACACAGTAGAAGTATAGTTCTCCCTGTATTACACAGAAGCAGTATAGTTCTCCCTGTATTACACAGTAGAAGCTGTATAGTTCTCCTGTGTATTATACAGAAGCAGTATAGTTCTCCCTGTATTACACAGAAGCAGTATATTTCTCCCTGTATTACACAGTAGAAGCCGTATAGTTCTCCCTGTATTACACAGTAGAAGCAGTATAGTTCTCCCTGTATTACACAGTAGAAGCAGTATATGTCTCCCTGTATTACACAGTAGAAGCAGTATATGTCTCCCTGTATTACACAGTAGAAGCAGTATGTCTCCCTGTATTACACAGTAGAAGCAGTATATGTCTCCCTGTATTACACAGTAGAAGCAGTATATGTCTCCCTGTATTACACAGTAGAAGCAGTATATGTCTCCCTGTATTACACAGTAGAAGCAGTATATGTCTCCCTGTATTACACAGTAGAAGCAGTATATGTCTCCCTGTATTACACAGTAGAAGCAGTACATGTATATGTCTCCCTGTATTACACAGTATAAAGCAGTATGTGTCGCCCTGTATTACACAGTAGTCTCCCTGTAATACACATTAGAAGCAGTATATTGCCCCCTGTAATACACATTAGAACCAGTATATTGCCCCCTGTAATACACATTAGAAGCAGTATATTGCCCCCTGTAATGCACATTAGAAGCAGTATATTGCCCCTGTAATGCACATTAGAACCAGTATATTTCCCCCCTGTAATACACATTAGAACCAGTACATTGCCCCCTGTAATACACATTAGAACCAGTATATTGCCTCCTGTAATGCACATTAGAACACATTAGAAACCAGTATATTTCCCCTGTAATACACATTAGAACCAGTACATTGCCCACATTAGTATATGCACATTTAGAACCAGTATATTTCCCCTGTAATGCACATTAGAACCAGTATATTGCCCCCTGTAATGCATTAGACATTATATTGTAATACACATAATGTAACACATTAGAACCAGTATATTTCCCTGTAATAACACATTAGAACCAGTATATTTCCCCTGTAATGCACACAATAGAACCAGTACATTGCCCCCTGTAATGCACATTAGAACCAGTATATTTCCCCTGTAATACACATTAGAACCAGTATATTTCCCCTGTAATGCACATTAGAACCAGTATATTGCCCCCCCACATTAGAACCAATGCACATTAGAAGCAGTATTTCCCTGTTGCACATTAGAACCAGTGTAATGCACATTAGAACCAGTATATTTCCCCCTGTAATGCACATTAGAAGCAGTAATGTAATGCACATTAGAACCAGTATATTTCCCCTGTAATACACATTAGAAGCAGTATATTTCCTGTAATACACATTAGAACCAGTATATTGCCCCCTGTAATGCACATTACACATTAGAACCAGTACATTTCCCCTGTAATGCACATTAGAACCAGTACATTGCCCCCTGTAATACACATTAGAATATTTCCCTGCATATATATTTCCAGTACATTGCCCCCTGTAATGCACATTAGAACCAGTATATTTCCTGTAATAATGCACCAATATATTTGCCCCTGTAATACACATTAGAACCAGTACATTACAATACACATTAGAACCAGTATTTTCCCCTGTAATACACATTAGAAGCCAGTATATTTCCCCTGTAATACACATTAGAACCAGTATATTCCCCTGTAATGCACATTAGAAGCAGTATATTTCCCCTGTAATACACACTAGAAGCAGTATATTTCCCCTGTAATGCACATTAGAAGCAGTATATTTCCCCCTGTAATGCACATTAGAACCAGTACATTGCCCCCTGTAATACACATTAGAACCAGTACATTTCCCCTGTAATACACATTAGAAGCAGTATATTTCCCCCTGTAATACACATTAGAACCAGTACATTTCCCCCTGTAATACACATTAGAACCAGTATATTGCCCCTGTAATACACATTAGAAGCAGTATATTGCCCCTGTAATACACATTAGAAGCAGTATATTTCCCCCTGTAATACACATTAGAAGCAGTATATTTCCCCCTGTAATACACATTAGAAGCAGTATATTTCCCCCTGTAATACACATTAGAATTGCCCCTGTACATTAGCCCCTGTAATACATTAGAAGCAGTAGAATGCAGTATATTTCCCCTGTAATGCACATTAGAACCAGTATATTGCCCCCTGTAATGCACATTAGAAGCAGTATATTTCCCCCTGTAATACACATTAGAAGCAGTATATTTCCCCTGTAATGCACAGTACATTTTCCCCTGTAATTAGAGAACCAGTACATTGCCCCTGTAATGCACATTAGAACCAGTATATTTCCCCCTGTAATACACATTAGAAGCAGTATATTGCACCCTGTAATGCACATTAGAACCAGTACATTGCCCCCTGTAATGCACATTAGAACCAGTACATTTCCCCTGTAATACACATTAGAAGCAGTATATTTCCCCCTGTAATGCACATTAGAACCTGTACATTTCCCCCTGTAATGCACATTAGAAGCAGTATATTTCCCCTGTAATACACATTAGAACCAGTACATTGCCCCCTGTAATACACATTAGAAGCAGTATATTTCCCCCTGTAATGCACATTAGAACCAGTACATTGCCTCCTGTAATACACATTAGAACCAGTATATTGCACCCTGTAATACACAATAGAACCAGTACATTGCCCCCTGTAATACACATTAGAAGCAGTATTTTTCACCATCATACACAGTAAAAGTAGTTTTCACTGTTATATACAGTTGAACTAGTATATTTCCATGTATGCAGTAGATTAGTATAGCTCTCCTTACAATGAACTATCAAACCAAAAGATTTACCATTGTAATGAAATGTAGAGCAAATGTTTTTGTCATCATAATAAATCCATTCAAAGAACATCTGTTAATGTAAACTGTTTATTGTTAAACAAAATACACAATAGGTAGTTGGTACTTCCATTCTTCAAATCAAACACACACACATTCTTACATTACCAAACACAAATTAGGTTGGTTACTGTTGACAATGGGTTGTCATCCACTACACCTAGTCACATATTTGCATCTTTCAACCTAACTCATCACGGAGCTAGAAAACTTCATATACCAGTCTGTAAATGAATCCAAATGATACATGAGTCCAACCCATCATCGCAGAGCTAGAAGACCACATACACCAGTATGCAGATGGATCCAGTGATACACCAGTCCAGCCCATCATCGCAGAGCTAGAAGACCTCATACACCAGTCTGTAGATGGATCCAGTGATATACCAGTCCAGACGATCGTCATGGAGCTAGAAGACCACATACACCAGTATGCAGATGGATCCAGTGATATACCAGTCCAGCCCATCGTCATGGAGCTAAAAGACCACATACACCAGTCTGTAGATGGATCCAGTGATATACCAGTTCAGCCCATCATCATGGAGCTAGAAGACCTCATACACCAGTCTGTAGATTGACCCAGTGATACACCAGTCCAGACGATCGTCATGGAGCTAGAAGACCTCATACACCAGTCTGTAGATGGATCCAGTGATATACCAGTCCAGCCCATCATCATGGAGCTAAAAGACCTCATACACCAGTCTGTACATGGATCCAGTGATACACCAGTCCAGCCCATCGTCATGGAGCTAAAAGACCTCATACACCAGTCTGTAGATGGATCCAGTGATACACCAGTCCAGCCCATCATCATGGAGCTAAAAGACCACATACACCAGTCTGTAGATGGATCCAGTGATATACCAGTCCAGCCCATCGTCATGGAGCTAGAGGTTACCATACACCAGTCTGTAGATTGACCCAGTGATACACCAATCCAGCCCATCGTCATGGAGCTAGAGGTTACCATACACCAGTCTGAAGATGAAGCCATTGCTGTACCATGGCATGTTGTTCTCTTCACACACCTTGCGGAATGGACTGCGAAACGGGTTAATCTCGGGTGAGGTGCATGTTCCGAGCATCACCCCTCCATGGCGAGGCGAGCACAGTCACAGCTGTACTGACAGTAGTCAGTGAAGTAGGCAGCCATATTGTTCACCTGCAACATAGACTGCAGACTGGGGAGACCCATACATACCTCAGATAAAATCATAACACTTCTTTGAGAATTACACTACTAACTGTGTTACTTTGTGGAATGTATGAATTTCACACTATATTATATTCATGATCAAGTGCAGAAAGTTCAGACAATGAGCAGAATCCCTGTTTTATATGCTGCTACTGGCTAATTCATCAATATTAAAAGGTGGAAGCAACATCTTCAGAAAATTAAGTGTTTGATCTTGATATAAAACTAGTAATGCATAGTTTTCGACAAGAGGAGTGCCAGTATGAAACTAGGATGATAATATAGATTCTAATGTTACATAAAGCTGCACAACAATATATACAGTAAAACGAAGTCAAAGTCACTGTCAAAAGGTTCCACTGCAAACAAACCTTCATTTTCTTGAGAGAAGCTGCCCAGGTCATGTATGCCCCCACGCCAGCATTAAAACCTGTTGGAATAGATCATGTATTTGATTTTGACAACCGTAACCATATAATACTGAATATCACACAGGACAGAGAAGTATCAGCTAGAAGTTTGAAACATCCTAATATACTCTCTAAACAGAGTAGGGGATATTACAGTCACCATGAGAATTATCGGCTTTGTAAAATGACTGGCACAAAACCAAAAGCACCGAGGGAGATGGAGAAGGGGACAGGGAGACTGACAGATGTCTGCCCCATAAAGCACATTTGGGGCATGATTGGGAGGCATACAGGGCAATGTCAAAGGTCACTGACAACAATCACCAAATGGGGCCAAACACTGCAGGTGGAGTGGACAAGACATATTTTTGGAGCTAATTGTTCATAATTAAGGAGACACAGATTCTGGCTCACCTAGCACTAGATGTGGATGTGGCCCTGTGTACTTGTGGTAGAGTGATCGGTGTATTGTAACTGACACGTTTTCTTCTTTGTAAGTTTTCTTATCCACATGCTTTGAAATTTCTGTTCCAACCATGTTGATCTCAAACTTGATATCTGGTAGCAAGCGGCCAAACTCCTACAGATACACAGGGTTCACATTATAATCAAAACACATAATAACAAACATTAAACTATTTTATCATTGTGATGAAAAAGACAATGAAAATACAAAATCCATAAAGAATTCCCCCACTGTTACAAGGGTTCACAATGTTATCCCAACCATACTTCCTGCTAAAAGGTTGAAAATGTACCTCCTTCCCTGTTACAGGTATAACCATGTACCCCTCTCCCTGTTACAGGTATCACCATGTATCCCCCCCTGTTACAGGTATCACCATGTATCCCCTCCTGTTACAGGTTTCACCATGTATCCCCCTCCCGTAACAGGTATCACCATTTATTACCCACGTGGTCAACGTATGGGTAGTTGCATATTAATCTCGTACGTCACACGAGTGTCGTATCGCGTTGACCTGTGTCGTAACGACTTGACCTGAAATTCTAACGATTTGATTGGATAACCGATGACCTCTCAATTAGGTCACATTCTGACGTAACTATTTTTTCATTCATAACAAACACGTGAATTCATTCATTCTACAACTTAAATGCATTGTGGGAATGTAAACATTGCGAACGTTGCGTGTAAAGCTGTTTAATTGTGAGTCGAACTGAGACATTATATCCGTCGAAAAACATAAAGCGCAATGTTTCCACCAGTGATGTTAGCGAATGAAGCAACTGGAAACCAAGAAGCGAGGTGCAGCGGAGTAGTTTACTGTAGGAGGCTGTGCGGTGCGATGGCAACTGACATGCATCGTGGCGTCGGTTACCATGGCAGTGGCGTCATTACTGTGGCGTCATGCAAATATTGTACTACAGTACAAAACTCTTCCGCCAACCTCTTTATGAAACCGGTTTGGTTTGAAACCAAAAACATAACAAAAATACGGCTATTTTGTCAATTTAAATGCATGTAAGGCGTGGGTAATAAATAAAATACCACCTTTCGGTCTCATTACATCACGAATTATCACGAGAGCTTCGTGACCTTCCTATGTTATCTGACCTGCGCTTTCGCTCGGTCAGATACCATAGGAAGGACACTCGTTTCGTATAATTCGTATGTAATGAGACCTCTTGTAGTATTCTCTATGTACCCCCCTCCTGTTACAGGTATCACCATGTATCCCCTCATGTTACAGGTATCACAATGTATCCCCTCCTGCTACAGGTATCACCATGTACCCCCTCATGTTACAGGTATCACCATGTACCCCCCTCCCTGCTACAGGTATCACCATGTATCCTCTCCTGTTACAGGTATCACCATGTATCACCTCCTGTTACAGGTATCACCATGTACCCCCTCATGTAACAGGTATCACCATGTTTCCCCTCATGTTACAGGTATCACCATGTATCCCCTCCTGTTACAGGTATCACCATGTATCCCCTCCTGTTACAGGTATCACCATGTATCCCCTCCTGTTACAGGTATCACCATGTACCCCCTCCCTGTTACAGGTATCACCATGTATGGTATCACCATGTATCCCCTCATGTTACAGGTATCACCATGTATCCCTCCCGTTTACAGGTATCACCATGTACCCCCCTCCCTGTTACAGGTATCACCATGTACCCCCTCCTGTTACAGGTATCACCATGTATCCCCTCATGTTACAGGTATCACCATGTACCCCCTCCTGTTACAGGTATCACCATGTACCCCTTCCTGTTACAGGTATCACAATGCATCCCCTCCAGTTACAGGTATCACCATGTATCCCCTCCTGTTACAGGTATCACCATGTACCCCCTCATGTTACAGGTATCACCATGTATCCCCTCCTGTTACAGGTATCACCATGTATCCCCTCCCGTTACAGATATCACCATGTATCCCCTCCTGTTACAGGTATCACCATGTATCCCCTCATGTTACAGGTATCACCATGTACCCCCTCCTGTTACAGGTATCACCATGTACCCCCTCCTGTTACAGGTATCATCATGTACCCCCTCCTGTTACAGGTATCACCATGTACCCCCTCCTGCTGCTACAGGTATCACCATGTATCCCCTCCCGTTACAGGGATCACCATGTACCCCTCCTGCTACAGGTATCACCATGTATCCCTCCTGCTACAGGTATCACCATGTACCCCCTCCCTGCTACAGGTATCACCATGTACCCCCTCCCTGCTACAGGTATCACCATGTACCCCCCCTCCTGTTACAGATATCACCATGTATCCCCTCCGTTACAGGTATCACCATGTATCCCCTCATGTTACAGGTATCACCAAGTATCACATCCTGTTACAGGTATCACCATGTACCCCCTCCCTGTTACAGATATCACCATGTAACCCAACCCAACCCCCACCCCTGTTACAGGTATCACCATGTATCTCCCTCCCTGTTACAATGTATCCTCTCCCTGATACAGATGACACCACATATCCCCCCTGCATGTTACAATGTATCCTATCCCTGTGCTATTTACCTTAAATATTGGCAGCATCTCGACTTCCTTCTCCACACCCACTAGGTCGATGACATACTGTCTTCCTGCACACACCTTCATACCCGGATCTGGAACAAGGAGAGTTGTGCATCACCAGTCAACATGTTGTCGGTATATATATAACACAAGGGACTTACAGTCTCCAGGAAGACATGCTGTCACACAAGGGACTTACAGTCTCCAGGAAGACATGCTATCAGTGAGGGACTACATAACACAAGGGACTCAGTGTCTAGGATGACATGCTGTCGGTATATAACACAAAGGGACTTACAGTCTCCAGGATGACATGCTGTCGTATGACATGCTGTCGGTATATAACACAAGGGACTTACAGTCTCCAGTGTCTAGGATGACATGATATAACACAAGGGACTCACAGTCTCTAGGAAGACATGTCAGTATATAACACAAAGGGACTCACAGTCTCTAAAGGATGACATGTTGTCAGTATATATAACACAAGGGACTCAGTGTCTAGGATGAGTATATAACACAAGGGACTGTCTCTAGGATCATGTTGTCAGTATATACACAAGGGACTTACAGTCTCCAGGAAGACATGCTGTCAGTACATAACACAAGGGACTCAGTGTCTAGGATGACATGCTGTCGGTATATAACACAAGGGACTTACAGTCTCCAGGAAGACATGCTGTCAGTACATAACACAAGGGACTCAGTGTCTAGGATGACATGCTGTCAGTATATAACACAAGGGACTTACAGTCTCCAGGAAGACATGCTGTCAGTATATAACACAAGGGACTCACAGTGTCTAGGATGACATGTTGTCAGTATATAACACAAGGGACTCACAGTCTCTAGGAAGACATGTTGTCAGTATATGATACAGGGTGAGAGGGAAGCTGAGCAGAACAGCTACTGGTGAGTCCAGCCGGAGTCCTCGCCACTTGTAGTATGATTCCCAGTCAGAGATTGGCTGTGATGGGTCAGATGCTTTGCTGGCAGGAGGGTCGTCCAGCATACAGCTCTCCACAGGTAGAACCACGGGGTCATCACAGGGGGGCAGCTCACCTGAGTTATGTATACAATATTACATTTATAATAAATAACCCGACAGGAGACTAGATTAGTGCAACTCCTCTTTCTGCAACATTTTATTATCCTTACCAGCGAAACTTCAAAGCATTCAAACCACAGAGCTGCTACCCCATACTTGCCACAGAGACCCAATTTCACTTGTCATCAAACCCCCCACTGGCTGCTTGTCAAAAAATGGATAAAATTCAAAATTCTGCTTCTAGCCTACTATGACAACATCTGTCCATAATTCAAATATCTGATAGGTCAACCTAAGCTGAGTGATTCTCTGTTCTAGGGACCTGCACATACTAACATCACCAAACAGCAATAGGCTATCAAACTTTCTCAGTTGCTGACCCTAATCTCTTGAAAAAAACAACATGTTTATCAATAAGAACTTCAATCTTTTCGTTCCCAGTTGAAGACACTACTGAAAAGAAGCCTGTTCCATTATGCATTTAGCACAATACTCAGACTTTTTAACATGTGTACATTTTACATGCACCTTCGAGCACCATCATAAAGATATCAGGTGTTGTATATATTCCTGTTTGTGTTTGGCACCACATACTGACAGTGAGTATACATGGTAAACCTGACTGATACAGATGTATGACAAGTGTATTCACCAAATGGTATGAAGTGCCCCTGGGTGACCCATGTTGTACATTCTCTCCGCCACAGGCCCTGGTTGTACACACCCCTCTCCACCAAGAACTTTTCACAACGCAGAATGTTGAACTCAAATGCCGTTGTCTCTACAAAGTACATAATTGTGTACTAAAGGAAAGAATATCAGTGCTGAGGCTTAGCCTTTCATATAGATAGAGTTATCTCCCTTCTCCTGTCATTGATATGATCATGAGCTTAATGATTCTAGATTCTACCATGACAGACAATGAACTAAGTCACTGAGGCTTAGCCTTTCATATAGATAGAGTTATCTCCCTAGTCCTGTCATTGATATGATCATGAGCTTAATGATTCTAGATTCTACCATGACAGACAATGAACTAAGTCACTGAGGCTTAGCCTTTCATATAGATAGAGTTATCTCCCTTGTCCTGTCATTGATATGATCATGAGCTTAATGATTCTAGATTCTACCATGACAGACAATGAACTAAGTCACTGACCCTAGCCACCCAGTCCATTTGGTTGGCTTGCATGACCAGTAGAGATTACCAGGAACCAATCCAATTAGTAAACATGTGACCAGCACAGGTTGCTGGGGACCAGTCCATTTAGTCAAATTTAGAGGTTGCTGAGGACACAGGAGCCCGAATCTGATGTAAAAAAAAAAGTGACCTATATATATAACTTTTGTTATATATATAGGTCATATTTTCTTTTACATCAGAGTCAGGCGCCTGTGGCTGAGGACTGTTTATTGTCAAGTAAGGTAAAACATAGTGTTGTAGCATGTTTATGGTTAACCCTGCCATATACAACCAACATACAATCTCCAACCATATTGAGTATGTGCACACTTACCTTCCACATAAGCTGTACTGACTGATTTTGGTAAAAGAAACAATTGCTTTAACTGCATCAATATTTTTGTTCAATATTTGTTGAACATTTGACACCTGCAGCAATGACTGAATCTGATCTAACTGGATCTACATGTATTATGTGTAGTAACATTTGAGTAACATATGCTTGTGCTACCATTAACAGAGCCCATTCATTGTGCAGGGTGTGTACCTGGTGCGAAGGTGAAGGGCAGTCGGGTCAGTTCTGCTGTCTTCGACATGAAGTGTTTCATCTTGCCACACCACACTTTATGACTGTGTTCCTTCATATCGCCCTGCAGGGACCAGCCTTTCTTCTGACACTCTCGACTGCAGTAGATCACTGCCTGGCAGGACGAACTAAAATTCAACACTCCATGCAGTAGCCATTTTGGAATAGATGAAGTTAAAAGCAAACATTAGGCAGAGCGACAAAACTGAACCATCAGTGGTAGCAGACACCTACATCACTGGGATACAAGGTCATGCTGAGAGGTAAGAATCTTTTCTGAAGGTCACCATTCCAGAGAGGGATCAACTACTGTACACTGTGAGCTAGTCAGAGTCTTGAAGAACCTTTCACATGTTAGAAGTGTGCAAAGCTGGAGACACATTTCTGCTTAAACATGAAGAAGAGAATCAGGTTAAATCTGCTACAGGTTCTACATGGTAAAATCAATGCACATGTGATCTCACTACAGGCTCATGTACAACAGACTTGCTGAAGTGTGAAGTAAGGACTAACCACGTCTTGAAGAGGTCTGCTGTGCCTCTCCTCCTGCAGATACTGCACTCTCTCATCCAGGGGCTCTCAAGGTCCCTCAAAGGTTCAGCACTCAGGCCAGGAGACACAAATTTAATACCAAGTCTCTTGAGATCCAAAGCATTGTCCCTGAAAGCCAATCATACAGCTCAAGCTTGAAACAGTTTTCCTTCTGTCTTTTTTCACTGACAAACTTTACAGATACACAATGCTGAAAACACATGAAAAATATGACATTAACAATTTGAATCAACATCCTATCAAACCTCGCATAGCAGGAAGTAACCATTAGGAAAATCAGCAAGACATCATTGTGTACACTGACAGCAACTTTCCCTTCTTAACATAGCTGAATCAATCTCTGCCTCATATAAGTTTAATACCATGTTATTTACCCTTTTTACAAAGCCATATTGTTTTGAACTTCCAACATTCATCATTGATATTTCGTTTCTGGAGGAACAAGAAACCTTAAAAACAACATTCAAAACTGTTTTTCGGTGCCCAAATGGGAATGTGCATTGATTTATGTAAACAACACTGCGGGAGGGCAAAGACCAGTGGTCATCTTCATGGGATGTTTGTTGGAGGAAAATTAATCGAATTGATGTCAGCATGATGTCAGTATTTATTTACATTAAAGTGATCACAGTCATGTATCACTGCGATGTAAGACTTGAATATGCATCTTCTCGCTAGACTCGCATGGTTATTTTCACAGCATTGTAAATACTGATTCATATTTTATTTCCATGAAAAGTAGACTATGATTTTCGTATAACTGCATATTCTTTTTAAGGCCGTTATCAACTGATAATGTTCTTGGTATAAACACTGAAAATCTTCTTGATAATGGTTCTTCTATGAATTAATACTGTTCATTTGTTTTATGAATCTAAAGTTTAGTATTCTGATATAAATTATTTTGATTCCTGTGAAAGCAAAGCACTTACTTTGCCAGAGTTTTGTCCATGTATGTTACCATCCTAGGTCGTCGAGCTTGTCTCATCATAGGAAACAGTGTGCAGAAACAGAGGAGGTCATAGCTGTGCTGTGCCATGGAGCAGATGGACATGTCAGTGTGGGTCACACCAACTCCCATCCCAGCCCGATCCACCATGCACAGATAGCGGTATGTAATCCCATCGTCTTGGTTTACTGGTAACAAAGAGAGAGAAACTTTTGAGAGATGAAACACACTGAATCACAGCATATGGGCCCTCCCCAATTCAATACACCAGTTGGACCATGAAGTAACCTTGTGTAAGGACTTTATTTTTCTATGAGAATATGTTCAACTCCACAGGACTGACTGACTGACTGAGTTTGGTTTTACACCGCTTTTAGCAATATTCCAGCAACATCACGGCGGGGACACCAGAAATGGGCTTCACACATTGTACCCATGTGGGGAATCGAACCCGGGTCTTCGGCATGACGAGCCAATGCCATAACCATTAGGCTACCCCATCGCCCCCAACTCCACAGGAGCTCCACTGATGTCACTCATGAATATTTCAAAACAATATGAGAGTAAGTTGACACAATGAGCTAACTGATGCTGTAGGGCTACAAAGAGGCTGTTATTCCTGATTACATTGCATGATCCCTAGTAGTGATGTGGTGCATACTACACACCTTCATACCACACTCCAAACACCTGGTCACTGCTTAATGATACCAGCTATTAAAAATGTGGGATGCAAAAATGATTTCAATATATAAAGACAACTCATATTACACTGTATGCAGAACATCCCTGAGGACTCAAAGGATGACCATGGCAACTGCAGCCCAGTTTGTAATTGTAGGGAGAGTATTCCATGAAATGGCCCCCACCCCATCTGGTTCACATACATTGCATTTGTGAAACATTGCCAGTAAAGCAAATGGTTCATAGATCATAGATCTCAATTTTACAATCTAAAACAAATCATCCTATGATTGCTTTTTCACCTGTTTCCATTTCTTTAATAAACCAGATTGTGTCTTCCATCGGCAATGCTGCTATCTTCTCCTCCTGTCCCTTACATAGGTCCATCTTCCTTCTGATGTCTTCTTCAAATTTTGCAAACCTCTCAGGATCCTCCGCGAAAACCTTGTCCACATATTTCTTAACTTCATCAGATTCAGCATCCATGATGAATTAAGTGTATCAGGACTGAAATCGGTGCTAAAACATTAATAAACAAATAAAAGTATCGTAGATACCATATAGCATAATCATAAAAAAAATTATTAGTGTAAATACATTGGAAAACTATCATAATTGTGAATATGTTCACAAATATGTATAATATAGGCATGTACAGAATATCAGAACAGTTACAAGCTGCTGAATGTTGTTTTGTGTTGGAAAAGCATGCCCTCCTCCAAATCTAGGTGTTCACTGAAGACAGCACGCCCTCAGCCTAATCTAGACCTGTACGTGTCTACTCTGATTAAAACACTGAAATCTTTGAGCTCGATCATGCCGCCATACTCTCCTCAAAACATGGATGTTTGATAAGGGCAGCATGCTCTCCACAACATGCATGTTTGGTAAAAACAGCATAATGTGCTTCAAAGCAGGTGTAAGATCAAGACAGTACGCTATTAGGCTTAGCCAAATCTGGGCGTTATGTCTTGACCTGTTGACTGTAGCGTCCCCACCGCGGCTCTCTGCTTCGGTGATGTGTCTTTCGCTGGCCCTAATTGCCACTATTGCCTTAAATACAATAAACTCTTTGACTTTGACTTGACTATTAACACCTTTGTCAAGCTGTCAGTTAACTTCAATCAAAGCATTATAGTTTATCTTTCCGTTCTAAATTTCTATCATGTTTTACAGTTTAGATGAATGATTGCCGGTATATCAATCACAAAGCGAGAAACATGATAAACATGTTAAGGATGCACTGACATAATTCAAATTGCCAGTTCTAGTTTCCGAATCGGCAGTGTGTCGCCAGCCTACAATGCCTCTACGTGTCATTAGGACAACCGTTAGATATGTGTTGAGAAACGGACATCAGTCAACATTTGCTAAACACTTCTTACCGAAGCGTTCTTTCGTCGCACGCCACTCAGAGTTATCTGTCCTTTGCTGCTTCTCCCCACAGCGCAACTGTTCATTGTCATGTTGTGGAGCTTTGTAAATACACGTTGTGTCTATTACTGCTAAGCCTCTGAGTATATTTAATTTTGATAGTAAAAAATAATCCTATTTAAATTGAAAAGGAGACTACGGAAGCGTCCTAGTGCCACAGTCTGAATTTTTTTATCTCCTAATTAGGAGATAGCATCTCCTAATTAGGACTTACTATCTCCTAATTAGGACTTAGCTATCTCCTAATTAGGAGATAATATCTCCTAATTAGGAGTTACTTTTACTATCAAAACAAGTGTAGAAGTGAGCACAGCTCACATACCCCCCGCTTCCCACTTTGGGACATGGAAATGACTGATATTGATATATATAATGTGACAAGGATCAGCAGCTCACAAGACTTTCTCCTTGACTCTACTAAACTTTATATACATGTTAGATAATAGTTTTGCCATGTACTGATTACAGTAATAATTTATGGAAACATTAATTTTTTTTTCCGTGGAAACCTGACATACAATTGAACTTGACTGTCTCAAGTTGCACACAATGAAGTGGACGTAGATGAAGATTGTTATTTTTTTAGCACATGACATATCTGTGGGTCATGATTAACTTGTGTATTAAGTTTGGTCAACCTAGCATGTATATTTTCGATGATATGCTGTGGCCAGGTAACCATCAAACACATTTTGCACCATTTTCCATGGAAACAATAACAAAACAAATTCTGAAAAAACTTTAAAATAGCAAAAGGCACATCAATGGGTAATGATTAACATGAGTGTGAAGTTTGGTGAACCTAGCATGTAAACTTTAAAGGTCACATGCAACCAAAAAATCAAACATAATTAAAACACAATTATCACTTATTCATTACATATAATATACATTGCTGGTTATGAAAAAACATTTAAACAAAATTATAAGCGTACAATCGCAAATCAAAAGTGCAATATTGTAGAGATGTTGGGTTTTGTAAATACATGCTCATGTTTTGTGTATAACATTTTGCAATCAACAGACATCATAACATGTCATGTGTTCAAGTATCACACCTGCCTGTCTGTGTAATTAGTAATTTAATTACCATTTAATGTGCTTTTAATGTAACACTTGTGCAGCAAGGATTCAAAACTCTTTTGGAAATGTCTTAGAAAAGTGTAAAGGTTTAATGCTATTTCAATTTCAATTTCTAATGAGCAGTGGATCAAACATTTTATGGATTAAACAACATGTCACTTTATTCTAGTATGATTTCATGTAATGTTGGAACTTGCCGAGGATGTGGATTAATTCCACAAATCTTTATTAACATGTACTATATGTTGGAATGTGACTGTGGGCAAGGTATTACAGTATCATCTGAATAATATTTGTTGACTCATGTAGCTGAAGATGTCTCAGCTATATCTGATATTTGCATTCAACTGCAAAGGAAAAAATGACTGTGCTTGAAACTAAAATTATTGCTTTTCACTTCACAACATTACTGTATTCGTGAATAATTATTCGTATTCGTTACCCAATATTCGTGATACGTATCGTATTCGCCACATAGTGTATTCGTTACAGCCCTAGTAATTACATAATGTGACAGAGACCAAACTCGGGCCATAAATCAATGCATTTTGTTTATGACGTATAGCCTGATTGGTGTTAAGTTCAAATTGCATGTGGTCAGTGATAACAGCTGTGTATTGAATATTGTCATTAGCAGACAGGCAGGCAGACACACAGGTGTCAATAAAACAAGACATTGAGTTTTGTCTGTGACAACGACATATCTATATCACAGTTAGAAATTCTGTCAACGCTAAATAATGACATTGCTTTTAAGTATCGAACTGAGAAAGTGTCTGGGTAAGAAGAACGTGTGGTGAAATAGACAAATGAAATTATATAAACAGTTAATTTACTGTCATAACATATAAAAAGCTCGCGCCTGTGAGATATCAACAAAACATTAGAAAAATAGCTCACACCAAAGCCTTCACCGAGTATTCACCGGACAACCCGCTTCCAAGCTGCGCGAACCTATTTCACTGCGCACGTGTTATGAGCGTAGCCCAGCTGTTGAAACCACTTCAATTCCCCCCAAACGCTGGGGAAAAATTAGTGAATCGTTTGAACTACGATTTTGCGCGTTTTTCTCCATCGCGTTATTTTTCAACTTTATAAGTTGAATTTGCATTTTTGACGATTTGTTTCCGTAAGTCCACACCGAAAGGTATCAGAATCTGCAAAGTTGTGTTTTACGTTGCATGTGACCTTTAAGAGATATGCTCCGGACAAAACCAACACATTTGGCACTAAGTCGTGTTTCCATGGAAACAGCAAAAAAAAAAGAAATTCTGGAAAAAAAATAAAATAGCAAAAGGCACATCAATGGGTAATGATTAACATGTGTGTGAAGTTTGGTGAACCTAGCATGTAAACTTTAAGAGATATGCTCCGGACAAAACCATCAAATACATTTGGTACTAAGTCGTGTTTCCATGGAAACAGCAAAAAAACCCAAAATGCTGAAAAAACTTTAAAATAGCAAAAGGCACATCAATGGGTAATGATTAACATGTGTGTGAAGTTTGGTGAATCTAGCATGTAAACTTTAAGAGATATGCTACGGACAAAGTTTCGGGACGGACGGAAGGACAGAATGAACGCTTAATACCCCCGTTACTTCGTATAATTAAATATATAAATGTAGACTTGCTTCGTTTAGGGTTTTAGCATTGCAGGGACGGCTTAGGCAGTAGGGAAAATATTATTATTTATATATGCTGTTCAGGGACTGAGGCAGACCATGTCGATAAAACACAATTTCATACAGACAGGCAGTTTTTTATTCAATAGAAAGGCCACTGGCCCAAAATACATTCATGTGTCACTGAATATAATTTCAATAGTGAATAATGATCAGTTTCCTCCATCACTATCTCGTTTCATGATAGTTTTGCTAAGAATGCTAAAAACGTCCTGAAACGTTTCCCTTCATCACAAAAGGTATTAAAATGTTAAGAGAGATGCTCCTAAGTATTATAAATAGCATTTTCAAACCCACTACATGACATGTACATGATGTCATGATGTCAAAATGTTTTTGAATGTTCATGAAATGTTACGCCAATTTATGACTTTCATATAGTGTTTCCAAAGCGTTGTCGCCATACAGTGTTCCACTACAATGCAAACTGTTGTTAACATATTTACTGATTTAAAAAAAACCCGTTGCCGAGCTGTCAATTAATTATTTAATCGGCATGCTAAAAGTGCCCACAGCCAAGTGAGTAGTATATACCCACGATTCCGTTGGTATATGAGCAGATGGTGGCCACATGAATACGTGCAAACACCTATAGTCCGTTTGGCTCAAAAGCGGACCGATGAATTGCAGAGTTGGTATGATGTTTTGATCATGATCAGCGTTTCATTGAGTATTTTATGTTATTAGTTTTCGAGTTTGATTGCAATTCATCGGTCTGCTTTTGAGCCAAACGGACTATAGTTGCGGGTACAGCAACGTGCAGTAAACTTGGACAAAATACTGTGACTATGTGTCCCTGTCCACCCAGGTGTGAATGTGTACCTCGTAAGGATGGGAAGGCCACATTAACTAGGTGCGCCTAGTGGCTGCAAGAGTTGTATGATCCCCAGGGAGTTGAGATTGATAATACACTGTGCCGTTTGAGACTGACATCCAATGATCGAGGGAAAAACAAAGCGCCCTTGAGCAGATGATCTGAATATTGGCGCTATATAAATATATATATATAAATAAATAAAATAATTGTCAATTGAGCTCATATTCCAAGAAATCTTATTGCCATGTTATGAACAGACATTGCAGACACAAAAACGACACTTGTACGAACCTAACATTTAATCATTATGAGATTCAAAACATACAATTTATCTCTCTGAAGCATGCTTTGGACCCACTATATAATATTATGTTTAAAAATGAATCACGTCCTGTGCGACCGTCTAATTGGTGAAATCTCAGGACATTTTCGGGAACTCATTATCATATTTCAATTTTTTTTAATAATCACAATAAAAGATCAATCCTTTCCACTTCCACTATAATTTCCACTACAATGTCACTGTTACGTGCCTGCGATGTGTTAGAAATACTTAATCTTTTTTTCCAAATGTGTTTGATATGTTTTATTGATGTAAATCAAGGCATTCAGACACGACATGTTCAAGCTTGTTTCATGATGGTATCTAAGTGGTATTAAATCATGCATTTTCGTTTCAGCTTGTTTGTTTTTCAATTTTTTAATCCCACACTCATCAATATTCCAGCGGTCAGTAAATAAGCAGCCTGGACAAGGCAATCCAGTGATAGATATCATGAACATAGAATACGTAAATGGGATACAGTGACATCCTGATGATGGGATACAGTGACATCCTGATGATGGGATACAGTGACATCCTGATGATGGGATACAGTGACATCCTGATGATGGGATACAGTGACATCCTGATGATGGGATACAGTGACATCCTGATGATGGGATACAGTGACATCCTGATGATGGGATACAGTGACATCCTGATGATGGGATACAGTGACATCCTGATGATGGGATACAGTGACATCCTGATGATGGGATACAGTGACATCCTGATGATGGGATACAGTGACATCCTGATGATGGGATACAGTGACATCCTGATGATGGGATACAGTGACATCCTGATGATGGGATACAGTGACATCCTGATGATGGGATACAGTGACATCCTGATGATGGCATACAGTGACATCCTGATGATGGGATACAGTGACATCCTGATGATGGCATACAGTGACATCCTGATGATGGGATACAGTGACATCCTGATGATGGCATACAGTGACATCCTGATGATGGCATACAGTGACATCCTGATGATGGGATACAGTGACATCCTGATGATGGGATACAGTGACATCCTGATGATGGGATACAGTGACATCCTGATGATGGGATACAGTGACATCCTGATGATGGGATACAGTGACATCCTGATGATGGGATACAGTGACATCCTGATGATGGGATACAGTGACATCCTGATGATGGGATACAGTGACATCCTGATGATGGGATACAGTGATCCCGACAGTGACATCCTGATGATGGGATACAGTGACATCCTGATGATGGCATACAGTGACATCCTGATGATGGGATACAGTGACATCCTGATGATGGCATACAGTGACATCCTGATGATGGCATACAGTGACATCCTGATGATGGGATACAGTGACATCCTGATGATGGCATACAGTGACATCCTGATGATGGCATACAGTGACATCCTGATGATGGGATACAGTGACATCCTGATGATGGGATACAGTGACATCCTGATGATGGGATACAGTGACATCCTGATGATGGGATACCTGTCCAGATAATCCAAGCAATTTCTTACCTGGAATCCCGTCTACTGGTCAGGCGCATGGATATAGCCAAGGTGAGGTAGGCTGTGGTCAGGGCTTATTATCCTAACGAGCATGCACGTGTGGCTCCCTTAAACCTACACGTGTTTGTGTGACGTTTTGAAGTTGAAAAATTAAAAATAAATAAATAAATAAATAAAATAGAAAGAAATGGGATTTTTGGCTATCCCAATAAACTATTTTGTGAAATTATAGTGAGTGAGTGAGTGAGTACGCCGCACTCAGCAATATTCCAGCTATATGGTGGCGGTCTGTAATTAATCGTGTCTGGACCAGACAATTCAGTGATCAACAGCATGAGCATTGACCTGCGCAATTGGGAACCGATGACATCTGTCAACCAAGTGAGCGAGCCTGACCACCCGATCCCGTTAATTATCCACCTCTTTTTACGACAAGCATGGGTTACTGAAGGTTCATTCTAACCCGGACCTTCACGGGTGGTGATATTATACAATTTGGATCACTTGGTATTAGTCTTTGAATAAATGTTTTGATGTCGGTCGAGTCGCTTTGCTTCGAATACATGTTGTTTACTAAATATACATAGAGAAAGATCAAACGGACCTGGTGTGCAACGGCAAGGCCATTTTACTTATCATATCAGATCATACATTTCTGGAGCGATGGAGAAAATCGAGGTAGGAACGTTATGTTTTTGTTCCACGTCAGAACGAAAATCAGTGCGAGCGGGAGATGGGAAACACAGAACATAGTCCCAGGTACATTCTACCAACTCCCGAGACTACCACTACCTGGTTTATCCCTTGATGCCGAGCGTCAGTGCCATCTTGTAACGTCTGAAGTATTTTGGCGGCCCTCTCCGGACAGTCGCTCCAACCACCATGGGGGCGTCATGATCTCGATATAGACTTTCTGATATAGACGAGGAAGACGAAGTGTCAAGTAAAAACGAGTGGACAACGTTGGTCGTATATACTACCAGATCCTTTGGATAAAACTAGTCCTGACTAGTACAGTCACACGTGATCACAAACAAGTGCACGTATATCGAGAGGCTGAGGTCCATGGATAGATCTATTGACGTTGACGTCATGCATAGTTAGATTTGATACTTGCGTCTTCCTCAGTAATACGACAGTCCGTATCAAAATGTACACTGCGTAATATATACTAGCCACATAAAGAAACTGTGCATTGTCAAAATATGATCCCAGTTGATAAGTACGATAACAATGTCAAAGGTACATATAAACATTAATGGAGGGATCATGAGACCATAACAAGTCGGGAGAATTTCAATTGAAAAGTCAATCACAATGACGTCACGAGTCCACAAGCGGGACAGGGGTCAAACGACCATGTCACAAGCTCAATAACGGGGATGTCCACCATCGGCATTGAGAACAGCAGTGCATCGACGACGCATAGAGCCTATCAAACGTGCAAGGAAGGCTTGTGGGATGTCACGCCACATTCTCTCAAGTTCTGTTGCAAGGTCAAGGACGTTATCTGGAGGATGAGGAAGACGGCGTAGACGTCGATCCATCTCGTCCCAAACATGCTCTATCGGGGAGAGATCCGGTGGATTTGCAGGCCAAGGCAGTAAGTCAACGTTGTGGTGTTGCAAGAAATCCATAGCAACCCTTGCCGTATGAGGGCGGGCATTGTCCTGTTGGAATGTTAACCCAGGGCCATGACGTTGCAGAAAAGGAATTGCCACAGGTCGAAGAATCTGATCCCTGTAGCCCACACCAGTTAAGTTGCCCTGAACAATCACCAAAGGAGTTCTTTGGCGTGCTGTTATTCCACCCCAAATCATCACGGAACCACCACCAAAGCGATTCCTCTCCAAGACACAGGCCTGTGCATAACGTTCTCCCACGCGTCTATAGGCACGTTGACGTCCATCACTATGGGAAATGTTAAACCTGGACTCATCTGTAAAAAACAACATTTCTCCACCAAAACAAGGGTCTGCGGACATGATTTCGGCACCACATTCGGCGAGCTTGTCGATGACGTTGTGTCAGGATAGGCTGTATGGCGGGACGTCGTGGTCTGATCCCGTGATGACGTAAACGTTGTCGAACAGTGTTGGGGTGGATACGGCGAAGTCCTGGGATGGATAGGGCAGTCATCACTGCAGTCTGAAACCTGTACCGAAGATGGGTCACCCTTATCCATCTGTCCTGTCTTGGTGTTGTTACACGTGGACGTCCAGAACGTGGTCGATCGATGACGTCATTTGTGTTCTGGTAGCGTCTCACCAGTGCAGAACTGGTGTTCCGATGGCAGTGGAAATGTGCAGCCACTTGTCGTTGAGACATTCCCCCACGGACCATCCCAATGGCCTCATGACGTTGTGCAGACGTGAGCCTTGGCATGCTATGCGTTTCAATAGCCGTTTAATTTTTTGAACGATCGCAAGGGCAGGGGTTGAGCTTTCCAAAGTGACAGTATTGTGTGTCATTCATTTGCTCTGTTTCCCTTTCCCGGAATGCACGTGCAACAACATATTGCACGTCTCAAGGACGAACCCACTGATGTCACGGAACATGGCACGTGCATGCATGTTGGATACATGTCACTAATCTCTGAGTTTGAATCCTTATGTGTCTACACAGGTTTGATAAATTTAGATTTTAAATTTGTGTATGCACAGTTTCTTTATGTGCCTAGTATAGTATCCCATACATAGCGGAGGCGTCATGGACATCTATCTATACGAACACATGTATTAACCAAGCTGGCAAGCCTTACCACTCCGAACCCGTTAGTCGTCTCTTCCAGCAAACATGGGTTGCTGAAGACAAACCCTAAATTGGATCCTCGCTGGTACACTTTAAGTAATTTTAATACGCTTTATGTGTGCGATACACCCTTCAAATGTGCCATTTATGAAAGAGGTTTTATTGAATATTTCCCAGAATTTTCATTTTGTGAAGTGAATGGGTTTAATTAACATCAGACTAGTGTTATTGCCCTCGTATAGGACGTGCACCCATATATGGCTGTTGCAACAATGCGACTAATGCAACAGTTCAGCATTATAATGACTCCGAGCAGACTAGGTTTTGCTTAACCTAGAAACAAGTCTTTCGCCATGAAGTACCAGGTGAGGTAACCACCGACCGTCCACTCTGCTGACCGACGATACATATCCACTAGACCACAGATCGAGATGGTCAATTTAAATTTGGAATCCAGAACCATAAAATATACGAAAACGTAACATTCTTTTTTTGAAGACATCTATCAGCAATGTGCCGTACCATTGTCCCTCTACATGAACACGCGCACTTGTAAGTGAGCAAATGAGTATGGTTTTACGCCGCTTTCGGCAATATTCCAGCCATATCACAGCGGGGGACACCAGAAATGAGCTTCACACATTGTGCCCATGTGGGGAATCGAACCCGGGTCTTTGGCGTGACGAACGAACGCTTTAACCACTAGGCTACCCCACCGCCCCTGCACACTTGTAAGACATAACGTCATTACATTGTTGGTAGAATGGACAATGACACATCCCTGCTGGACAAATAAAGCCCCACGATAAAACCGTGAGGAGAAAAGACAACTGAGAAAAGACAAGTTGTATGAACGCAATATATAATTAATGAGCATTTATTTCATCAAAGCGAAATTAATCGAACGTAGAATTGTATCAAAACGTGTTTTGAATAAGAAAGAAATATATTCACACCAAGTGGAGATTTAAGGGATAAACTCCTGTCATTCAACCCGTCAGACTATATAGCAAGCACCTGCTGATTTCATCATGGTTGCATACCGGTCTTTGTCTCGACCAGACCCTTTCTACAAGATAACTTATTTTACAGACCCTTTGAACAAACACTTGTAGTACCATAACAAATGTCTTTACAACACAACGTATCTAAATTTCGGATCCATGCTTTATTTACTTTCATATCCCATCAGATTTTCATCAGGTGCATCCTCAAGCACCTCTGTGACAACAGTGTCATTTTCCATCAAACCAAATAGTACCTACATTACCTACACTAACGTCATCAGAATGGAATGTGCATAGAAGATCTGAAAGTGGTCCTTTCTTTAACAAGAGCAATGCCACTCCAGTTTCCAATCTATATATTTGTCTGCATAATCACCAGGTGTCATTTAGCACTAACACAATTCAAGAAACTTTTCAATTCACATTTAAGTACTTGCACAGTTGGGGTCTGCTGCCGTCTTAAATAAGTGTCAGACCATACCGGAATCGGCACCTGATGGCAGCACAGTTTGGCCAAAGTTTGGTAGGCATTTGGAACATCCCCACCAGCTGTTTTCGATCTTATTGGGTTTTCAATGCCATGTACATGTATATAGTAACACCATCTGTACTGGAGTGTCCTCACCACATCCCCTAGACACCACACACCAGGACACCACGATGTACATGCATATAGTAATACCATCTGTACTGGAGTCACATCACATCCCCTAGACACCACACACCAGGACACCACCATGTACATGTATACAGTAATACCATCTGTACTGGAGTCTCATCACATCCCATAGACACCACACGCCAGGACACCATCATGTACATGTATATAGTAATACCATCTGTACTGGAGTCACATCACATCCCCTAGACACCACACACCAGGACACCACCATGTACATGTATACAGTAATACCATCTGTACTGGAGTCTCATCACATCCCATAGACACCACACGCCAGGACACCATCATGTACATGTATATAGTAATACCATCTGTACTGGAGTCACATCACATCCCATAGACACCACACACCAGGACACCACCATGTACATGTATACAGTAATACCATCTGTACTGGAGTCTCATCACATCCCATAGACACCACACACCAGGACACCACGATGTACATGCATATAGTAATACACCATCTGTACTGGGTCACATCACATCCCCTAGACACCACACACCAGGACACCATCATGTACATGTATATAGTAACACCATCTGTACTGGAGTCTCATCACATCCCTAGACACCACACACCAGGACACCATCATGTACATGTATATAAGTAACACCATCTGTACTGGAGTATCCTCATCACATCCCTAGACACCACACACCAGGACACTACCATGTACATGTATATAGTAACACCATCTGTACTGGGTGTCTCACCACATCCCATGACACCACACACCAGGACACCACCATGTACATGTATAAAGTAACACCATCTGTACTGGGTATCTCATCACATCCCCTAGACACCACACACCAGGACACCACCATGTACATGTATAAAGTAACACCATCTGTACTGGAGTCTCATCACATCCCCTAGACACCACACACCAGGACACCACCATGTACATGTATATAGTAACACCATCTGTACTGGAGTCTCATCACATCCCCTAGACACCACACACCAGGACACCATCATGTACATGTATATAGTAACACCATCTGTACTGGAGTCTCATCACATCCCATAGACACCACACACCAGGACACCACCATGTACATGTATATAGTAACACCATCTGTACTGGAGTCTCATCACATCCCCTAGACACCACACACCAGGACACCATCATGTACATGTATATAGTAACACCATCTGTACTGGAGTGTCCTCATCACATCCCCTAGACACCACACACCAGGACACCACCATGTACATGTATATAGTAACACCATCTGTACTGGAGTCTCATCACATCCCATAGACACCACACACCAGGACACCATCATGTACATGTATATAGTAACACCATCTGTACTGGAGTCTCCTCATCATCCCCTAGACACCAATCACCAGGACACCACCATGTACATGTATATAGAAACATCTGTACTGGAGTCTCATCACATCCCATAGACACCACACACCAGGACACCACCATGTACATGTATATAGTAACAACATCTGTACTGGAGTCACATCACATCCCATAGACACCACACACCAGGACACCACCATGTACATGTATATAGTAACACCATCTGTACTGGAGTCTCCTCACCACATCCCCTAGACACCACACACCAGGACACCACCATGTACATGTATATAGTAACACCATCTGTACTGGAGTCTCATCATCATCCCATAGACACCACACACCAGGACACCATCATGTACATGTATATAGTAACACCATCTGTACTGGAGTGTCCTCATCACATCCCCTAGACACCACACACCAGGACACCACCATGTACATGTATATAGTAACACCATCTGTACTGGAGTGTCCTCATCACATCCCCTAGACACCACACACCAGGACACCACCATGTACATGTATATAGTAACACCATCTGTACTGGAGTCTCATCACATCCCCATAGACACCACACACCAGGACACCACCATGTACATGTATATAGTAACACCATCTGTACTAGAGTCTCATCACATCCCCTAGACACCACACACCAGGACACCACCATGTACATGTATATAGTAACACCATCTGTACTGGAGTGTCCTCACCACATCCCCTAGACACCACACACCAGGACACCATCATGTACATGTATATAGTAACACCATCTGTACTGGAGTCTCATCACATCCCCTAGACACCACACACCAGGACACCACCATGTACATGTATATAGTAACACCATCTGTACTAGAGTGTCATCACATCCCCTAGACACCACACGCAGGGACACCATCATGTACATGTATATAGTAACACCATCTGTACTGGAGTGTCCTCATCACATCCCCTAGACACCACACACCAGGACACCACCATGTACATGTATATAGTAACACCATCTGTACTGGAGTGTCCTCATCACATCCCCTAGACACCACACACCAGGACACCACCATGTACATGTATAAAGTAACACCATCTGTACTGGAGTGTCCTCATCACATCCCTTAGACACCACACACACCAGGACACCACCATGTACATGTATATAGTAACACCATCTGTACTGGAGTCTCCTCATCACATCCCCTAGACACCACACACCAGGACACCATCATGTACATGTATATAGTAACACCATCTGTACTGGAGTCTCCTCATCACATCCCCTAGACACCACACACCAGGACACCATCATGTACATGTATATAGTAACACCATCTGTACTGGAGTCTCATCACATCCCCTAGACACCACACACCAGGACACCACCATGTACATGTATATAGTAACACCATCTGTACTAGAGTCTCATCACATCCCCTAGACACCACACACCAGGACACCATCATGTACATGTATATAGTAACACCATCTGTACTGGAGTGTCCTCATCACATCCCCTAGACACCACACACCAGGACACCATCATGTACATGTATATAGTAACACCATCTGTACTGGAGTCTCACCACATCCCCTAGACACCACACACCAGGACACCACCATGTACATGTATATAGTAACACCATCTGTACTGGAGTGTCCTCATCACATCCCCTAGACACCACACACCAGGACACCATCATGTACATGTATACAGTAACACCTCTTCCAACATGGTGTAAGATTTATCACAAGATGTGTTATGAAACATCTGTAAATGGATCCTTCCAATCTTTATGTCTCTCTAAGATCTACAAAATGTGATTGAGATAACATTTCTGAAAAGAAACTAAAAACACTTTACACACATTAACAATAAAATATGACTTGAAACTGAGTATTTATGAAGTTTTGTTAAGTGCCACATATAGCAGTCATTTTGGTAAGGCCACATTTTAGTGTGAAAACTTCTCGTGTAGGTTTGTTTTTAAACAGTTTTCTAACAAAAAATATATATTCTGAGAATAGATGCAAACCAATTTGACCACTAGATGGACAGACAAAGTACAGCAATCTATTCTCCAGAAAAAACATTTAAACATTTGTACTGCAAAGGACAGTGACATATAGACACACATTTCAGTTTATTGATGTCTTGGTCTGAAAGTGGATGTTTCATCCCTGGTTCTGGTACTGTGTTTCTAGAAGACTGTGGTAAAATCTGTTACTCTTGCCCTTGACCCAGTCAGCTTCAGCCGCACTGCTGGCCAGCTTCAGGTTGTCAAAGTCAGCGATGCCAAATACATCTGTGCCCACTGCAACAAAGCCACGAGCAGGCTGTGCAGCAACTGTCAAGTTGAATACAACTTTTTCATTGATGTAGCCCACTGCCCAACTTCCCTGAAACAAGCAGCAGATACGTACTGGATCAGCAGAGACCACAGCTGATAAATAGAGTGCTTTGGCACTGACCTGCTCACCCATATATATGGTCTACAGTTTAAGATATCAACAAAGAACCATTCAATTATTAAGCTTGTTTACAAAGCCAATCGCCAGTTACCTAGGAGTGTCATCAATAGTGCCTGTCATTTATCTGGGAGCATCATCAATAGTGTCTGTCAGTTAGCTAGGAGCGTCATCAGTAGTGTCTGTCATTTATCTGGGAGCGTCATCAATAGTGGCTGTCAGTTACCTAGGAGCGTCATCAGTAGTGTCTGTCAGTTACCTAGGAGCGTCATCAATAGTGTCTGTCAGTTACCTAGGAGCGTCATCAATAGTGCCTGTCATTTATCTGGGAGCATCATCAATAGTGTCTGTCAGTTACCTAGGAGCGTCATCAGTAGTGTCTGTCAGTTACCTGGGAATGTCATCACAGGTATTGTCTGTCAGTTACTTTGGAGCATCATCACCAGTAGTGTCTGTCAGTTACCTGGAAGCGACATCATCAATAGCGTCTGTCAGTTACCTGGGAGTGTCATCACCAGTAGTGTACAGTCAGGCCAGCGGTAATCCGGTCCTCGTTAATCCGAATCCACCGACTTCCGAACGCTACTCACCGGGCACCAAATCATCTCCCTATATATTGTATATAATTGACACCTCGTTAATCCGATGATTCAGTTTCCGCCTCCGAACGCTGGTCAGTCGGAACGGATTGGACTAATTAAGTTGTAAACAGCTGCGTTAATCCGAACGATTGAAGTTGACCGCGCTGCTGACTGGTCCACCCAAAGTGACACGTTGTTTGTTTAGCGACTCATCCCTTTGATCCCTTTATCATAAGTGATATGGAAATTTCGACGACCACGCTGTTTTGGGACTTCAATCCAGAAATATATGCTCGGTACTGAATTAAAATTATGAACTATTTTTCGCAATGTTATTGAAATCAACGATTCTCGGACACATGCTTCGGCAGCGGGTCCACAATAACATTGTCAAAGAGCAAAGTAACGATGTAAATTGAATAAACTAATGAATAAAATCCATGATTTACGTATAGGTAGCAATTTCTTGCTTAATATGTTCAAAATAGCATTATTTTACCCAAAACTTTCATCTAAATCTAAAAGTTTTCGTTTTCGAGGATGGTATCCATTGTCGTAATATGATTGGCTGCCTTAGGTCACGTGTCTGATTTTGACCAATCACGACCCATATAGCAGACTGTAGCGGAAAAAGCGTCTTCAGAAACCAATTTTTATCCAATAAAATCGCTTCTTACAACTGTGAAAATACTCTCGGCAAGGGTTCAGTGATGTTGTTGATGTTCAGAGCTTTCGAACGATACCGACATCAAACGATTAAGCCTCCCATGTTATTCATAACGACGCTCAAAACGGAGGTATTTTCCGTTGTTATGTCATGTTACCGAAAGTGGAAAGCCACAGATATCGGGAAATAGGCTGACCATACATATTATTTAAGAAATCTTTTTATAATAATTTTCTGATGACGTAAAAATGAAAATATAAAAGAAAAAGGCACGGGCATGTTATGACATGTCACAAATGGAAAAAAATCGCCATAGTTTTTGAATAACATTGTAAAATTAAACTTCATATTTATCAACAGTAGGATTAGATCTTTTAAATGATGTATGGGATGTAGTAGCAATAACGTTTTACAAGCTTATAATTTCCTTCATAAACATAGGCTTCATCTATGACCTCAGAGTCTCGATAGTAAGGAAAGATATCAAGGGAAAGTAACTCGGTGCATATACTGTGGTTTCAGCAGTACGAACGTTTCACTATCCGAACGTTTTTTTCAAAAAACCAAAGTGTTCGTATTAACGAGGTCTGACTGTATGTCAGTTACCTGGGAGGGTCATTACCAGTAGTGTATGTCAGTTACCTGGGAGTGTCATCACCAGTAGTGTATGTCAGTTACCTGGGAGGGACATCAAGGTTACAGTGGTTTATGTCAGTCACCTTGGTATGCAATGACATCTTGTTCCAGCCGTACTGACTTAGCTGTGGAGCGGCTCCCTCAGCGTACATGTGGAGTCTCTCTGGAAGATGATGCATGCAGTGTTATTAATGATAACATAACAAAACAAACCTCAACATTCCAGACATATAACAGTGGCCCAACAATAGTGAGTGAGTTTAGGTTTACGCCGCACTCAGCAATATTCCAGCTATATGGCGGCAGTCTGTAAATAATCAAGTCTGGATCTGACAATCCAGGGATCAACAGCATGAACATCGATCTACGCCATTGGGATACGATGATATGTGTCAACCAAGTCAGCGAGCCTGACCACCCGATCCAGTTAGGTTTAACTGTACCTGCGATAACTTGATGTATATTCTTCCATAATGCTAAAATACGCAACTACTTCATGTTTGAAATAACTCAGATTTGCAATTGACTAGAGAGCAATTAACATTTATGCATCAGGGCCCATTTAAATATATGTCTGACTGACTGACTGAGCTTGGTTTTACGCCGCTCTTAGCAATATTCCAGCAATAACACGGCGGGGGACACCAGAAATGGGCTTCACGCATTGTACCCATGTGGGGATTCAAACCTGGGTCTTCGGCGTGACGAGCCAACACTTTAACCACTAGACTACCCCACCGCCCCTTAAATATATGTAAAACAAGTGACTTAATATGTGTTAAACAAGTGATTAGAGCAAATATAACAAATAATTTTCTTCACACAATCAATGTTGATGGTAAGAACACTGGAAATCAAATGGTTAGACCTGCCCACTTGAGAAGCCAGTGTCAACTGTCTCACCAATATCTGAGGAGACACTGAAGGACCCTTTGCCAGGGAAGATGAAGAAGAAGATCCCGCTTGCATTGAAGTAGGTGCATCCAGTGTTGTTGATGCGTGCTGCAATGTATATGCCGTGTGTACCGTTGACCCTGCCAACTCGCACCTCTGCCTCAATGTATATGTCACTCCTACAACCAACATGAAACAAACACTGGAATAAGTCTCTGCACCATTGCGTGGAGTCATAACATACATCCTAATCATAACAGTTTGCTAACAGAGGTTAACCAATTTGGTTATTTTATGCATAACAGAAGCATTTAAAAATCATTTGATTCAGAAATATAAAGCGTTTCCTACTTTCATGATTGCCATAAGATACTTAAAATGACCTAATTCAAAAGGTCAATTTAAAGTTTCCAAATAAATGTGATAACTAATAATCATAGTTTCCTGGTTTGTGCAGCTTGTTGGCTGCAGTACAACATGCTGATCTACCCGGTCAGAGCAACAGAGCCAAACGCCTACCAGTCAGCAGAGCCAATGACGTCCATGGTAGCTGTATAGTGATCAAAGTTTGTCTGGCACCAAACTATCGGCATCTCAGTCACCATCTGCCTCATCACATTGCCAGAGCCCGTGGAGATTACCTCAAACGCACCATTCTGCTGTGCCAGGAGTAAAGCCTCAGCATGCTCGGGATAGCCTACAACATGGCCATACACTGTAACATGCATCTCTATAACATGGCCATACACTGTAACATGCATCTCTATAACACGGGCCATACACTGTAACATGCATGTGTACAACACGGCCATACACTGTAACATGCATCTGTACATGGCCATACACTGTAACATGCATCTGTACACTGTAACACATGGCCATGGCCACACTGTAACATGCATCTCTATAACATGGCCCTACACTGTAACATGCATCTGTACAACACGGCCATACACTGTAACATGCATCTGTACAACATGGCCATACACTGTAACATGCATCTGTATAACACGGCCATACACTGTAACATGCATCTGTACAACATGGCCATACACTGTAACATGCATCTGTACAACATGGCCATACACTGTAACATGCATCTCTATAACATGGCCATACACTGTAACATGCATCTATAACATGTACACTGTAACAACATGGCCATACACTGTAACATGCATCTCTATAACACGGCCATACACTGTAACATGCATCTGTATCTGTAACATGGCCATACACTGTAACATGTATCTGTACAACATGGCCATACACTGTAACATGCATCTGTACAACATGCACTGTAACATGCATCTGTACAACATGGCCATACATCTGTAAACATGCATCACTCTGTGCATAACACGGCCATACACTGTAACATGTATCTGTACAACATGGCCATACACTGTAACATGCATCTGTACAACATGGCCATACACTGTAACATGCATCTGGCCATACACTATCTTACAACATGGCCATACAACATGTCTGTACAACATGGCATACACTATAATGCATCTGTACAATATGGCCATACACTGTAACATGTATCTGTACAACATGGCCATACACTGTAACATGCATCTGTACAACATGGCCATACACTGTAACATGCATCTGTACAACATGGCCATACACTGTAACATGCATCTGTACAACATGGCCATACACTGTAACATGCATCTCTATAACATGGCCATACACTGTAACATGCATCTGTACAACATGGCCATACACTGTAACATGTATCTGTACAACACGGCCCTACACTGTAACATGTATCTGTACAACATGGCCATACACTGTAACATGCATCTGTACAACACGGCCCTACACTGTAACACGTATCTGTACAACATGGCCATACACTGTAACATGCATCTGTACAACATGGCCATTAGGTCTAATATACAACACTGGTGGCAGAGACAATACGTATTAGTGAACCAACATGTCGCTATATATCCTTTATATCCTATACAACAGTCTCTAAAATTTTTGTCATACTATCAAAATCCTCCACATATGGAAGAGGGAAGGACTTGGCTGCAGGTGGTGGCCCGAAGTCTCCCTTGTGTCCTGTGTTTAGAGTGGTCAGTGAGTACACCTCGTCCAGACCTACACTGAAGCTAGCCATACCTTGTGTCACCTGAAACAGACACAGAGTGTGCTTGGCATCAGCAAACTAGGTTGTGTTGAGAGTGGTCACTGAGTGCTTGGTCATATCCACCCGAGCCTCTAAGGGTATCGGTAATCAACTCCATCTGCAGTCACATTACAGCAATGTCGTATACAGTAACATCCTCAGGGACGTATTACTCCATTGTTAGACATATTACAGCTAGAACAACAATGGCCTGTAAGTAAGTGTGGACCAGAAAATCAGTTGATGGGTAATATATTACAGGATTTGTACTTAGGAGAAAGCCTACAACAGTTGTGGGGTAGCCTTGTGGATAAAGTGTTTGCTTATCACACTGAAGACCTGGGTTCTACTCCCCACATGGGTACATTGTGTGAAGGCCACTTCTGGTGTCCCCTTCACTGATTTTGATTGAATATTGCTGAAAGCGGCATAAAACCATACTCACTCACTCACTCACAACCTTTGTAGATACCTTCAGAGGATCCAGGTGCTTGAAGTACACCGACTGTTTACTGTCAAAACTAAGCTTGCTGTACCACACATTCAGTTGGGACACATCAGCCTACAACACAGAAGCAATATGCTGTACACTTATATTCTTGAGAGAGATGTCTATCACAACAATCAACAGTATTTCATTCATATCATGGTGTCCACTTTACATGTAAAGAAAGTTCAAAAGTATTAGTGATGGTATAGGTAGGTTATCAGAGGACAGGTATTATCATATAGGTAGGTCATCAAAGGACAGGTATTATCATATAGGTAGGTTATCAGAGGACAGGTATTATCATATAGGTAGGTCATCAAAGGACAGGTATTATCATATAGGTAGGTTATCAGAGGACAGGTATTATCATATAGGTAGGTTATCAGAGGACAGGTATTATCATATAGGTAGGTCATCAGAGGACAGGTATTATCATATAGGTAGGTCATCAAAGGACAGGTATTATCATATAGGTAGGTCATCAAAGGACAGGTATTATCATATAGGTAGGTCATCAAAGGACAGGTATTATCATATAGGTAGGTCATCAAAGGACAGGTATTATCATATAGGTAGGTCATCAAAGGACAGGTATTATCATATAGGTAGGTCATCAAAGGACAGGTATTATCATATAGGTAGGTCATCAAAGGACAGGTATTATCATAAAGGTAGGTCATCAAAGGACAGGTATTATCATATAGGTAGGTTATCAGAGGACAGGTATTATCATATAGGTAGGTCATCAAGGACAGGTATTATATATGGTATAGGTAGGTTATGAGAGGACAGGTATTATCATATAGGTAGATTATCAGAGGACAGGTATTATCATATAGGTAGGTCATCGAAGGACAGGTATTATATATGGTATATGTAGGTTATGAGAGGACAGGTATTATCATATAGGTAGATAATCAGAGGACAGGTATAATCATATTGGTAGGTCATCGAAGGACAGGTATTATGGTATAGGTAGATTATCAGATGACAGGTATAATCGTATTGGTAGGTTATCAGAGGACAGGTATTATGGTATAGGTAGATTATCAGAGGACATGTATTATCATACAGGTATATTATCAGGGGACAGGTATAATGGTATAGGTAGGAAGACACAGCTTTATAATGTTCATGAATTCAATGCCACAGTGACTTACAAAGCTTCCTCCAATGTGCAGGGTGACGGTCTGTGGCCCAACAGGCCGGGGGGAGCATCTCACCTCCCTTGTACAGAGTGAGTGGTTCAGTGTCTGCAATATCATGAAGAACCCCGATGTGAGCCACTTGTATCACAGATAAATAAGTGAAACTAACTTGAGGAGCACATGATGAAATCTAACCACATTGAATGGTCTGCCTGGCAGCTCTGCCCCCCTATACTGATTCAGTATATTATGATACATACTTGGTCCATGTTCTTCTATATACCATTGTTCACAGTTAGTCAAGGTCCATGTTCTGCTATATACCATTGTTCTATATACCTTTGTTCACAGTTAGTCAAGGTCCATGTTCTGCTACATACCATTGTTCACAGTTAGTCAAGGTCCATGTTATTCTATATACCATTGTTCACAGTTAGTCAAGGTCCATGTTCTGCCATATACCATTGTTCTATATACCTTTGTTCACAGTTAGTCAAGGTCCATGTTCTGCTATATACCATTGTTCACAGTTAGTCAAGGTCCATGTTCTGCTATATACCATTGTTCTATATACCTTTGTTCACAGTTAGTCATGTTCTGCTATATACCATTGTTATACCTTTGTTCACAGTTAGTCAAGGTCCATGTTCTACTATACCATTGTTCACAGTTAGTCAAGTTAGTCAAGGTCCATGTTCTGCTATATACCATTGTTCACAGTTAGTCAAGGTCCATGTTCTGCTATATACCATTGTTCACAGTTAGTCAAGGTCCATGTTCTTGCTTATCAAGGTCCATGTTCTATACCATTGTTCACAGTTAGTCAAGGTCCATGTTCTGCTATATACCATTGTTCACAGTTAGTCAAGGTCCATGTTCTGCTATATACCATTGTTCACAGTTAGTCAAGGTCCATGTTCTGCTATATACCATTGTTCACAGTTAGTCAAGGTCCATATTCTTGCTATTTGTTCATACCATTGTTCACAGTTAGTCAAGGTCCATGTTCTGCTATATACCATTGTTCACAGTTAGTCAAGGTCCATGTTCTGCTATATACCATTGTTCACAGTTAGTCAAGGTCCATGTTATTCTATATACTTGTTCTATATACCTTTGTTCACAGTTAGTCAAGGTCCATGTTCTGCTATATACCATTGTTCACAGTTAGTCAAGGTCCATATTCTGCTATATACCATTGTTCACAGTTAGTCAAGGTCCATGTTCTGCTATATACCATTGTTCACAGTTAGTCTATATACCATTGTTCACAGTTAGTCAAGGTCCATGTTCTGCTATATACCGTTGTTCACAGTAGTCAAGGTCCATTGTTCACAGTTAGTCAAGGTCCATGTTCTGCTATATACCATTGTTCACAGTTAGTCAAGGTCCATGTTCTGCTATATACCATTGTTCACAGTTAGTCAAGGTCCATGTTCTGCTATATACCATTGTTCACAGTTAGTCAAGGTCCATGTTCTGCTATATACCATTGTTCACAGTTAGTCAAGGTCCATATTCTGCTATATACCATTGTTCACAGTTAGTCAAGATCCATGTTCTGCTATATACCATTGTTCCATGTTCTGCTATATACCATTGTTCACAGTTAGTCAAGGTCCATGTTCTGCTATATACCATTGTTCACAGTTAGTCAAGGTCCATGTTCTGCTATATACCATTGTTCACAGTTAGTCAAGGTTCCTATGTTCTGCTATATACCATTGTTCACAGTTAGTCAAGGTCCATGTTCTGTTCTTAGTCAAGGTTCTGCTATATACCATTGTTCACAGTTAGTCAAGGTCCCTGTTCTGCTATATACCGTTGTTCACAGTTAGTCAAGGTGCATGTTCTGCTACATACCATTGTCTCAATGATGATGGAGAGGTCCTTGGTGTCTGGACTGACCAGTGAGACATACGTCCCTCCCTTTGCAAGCCGGCCCACTCCAGATCCATGATTCAGATAGTTCCAGCCTATCGCAGTAAACTGGGTAGTATGGCCTACCAACATATCACACAGAATGTGCTGACCAGTAAGAATCAGAACAATAATTTTATGAACCCAAGCCAAATGAGTTTAAAATACCACGAATTAAGAGGATAGGAGGCACCCTGGTATCAAACTGAAATAAAAAAATCTTATGAGATTGATTGTTAGGCAGAGCAATGTATGGTTGGATTCATTCTATTTGATTATACAACTGAACATACCAATGAGCCAACATGTAGAAACATTAATACACTACACATGAGTGGGCTTCTATCTAAATTTGAAAGACATGTGCCCGTCGACCATATGAGTCTGGGATCTGTAATTGAGCTGATTCAGCTGAGTGTTGAACTTTCAATGCATAGAATGGTAAATACCTAACAATGTCCCTCAGTCAGATAATGTTTAACAATTCAAGGCAAGGCATCTGCTGGATCCTGTTGTAACTCAGGAGTGCAATGTTCCACACTAAGTGTTGTCACTTTATACAATAAGGCAATCTGTGACCCCTACAGTTTCAAAAAGAAAAATACCCTAACAATAGCCAGTGTTTCTTATTCATGGTGTGACAAAATGCAAATTTACCATTTTACAATTACCATTTGAAATCCATGCAAATACACAGATTGAGCTTTATATTGTTTTGTGATACTTTGGAAGATTTCTGATTTAAGGAATCTGGCTTTAAAGGAGAATACGAGTGAATTGCAATAATTTGCTGGGTGAAAGATAAAGTCATCAGAAACATATTTCCAAATTTTCAATTAAAAATTATGTATAATTATGTCTTAATCGCGAAAACAGTTTCTGTAAATCTCAGCTTCGGCCATTATGCATATTTCGCTGGAACCCACATGACCTTTCCGCTCGTGACGTCAAATGTGCCTGGAGTCCGCCATATTGCCAAAGACCAAGCGCTACAGTAGTACAAATCGTGTTGTTTATGTTGTTTTTGTAAATTGTGCGATGGTGTATTCTGTTGCCTGGGGATGCATGGAATCATCGAACAATGGAAAGTCACCATTTCTTCCGTTTTCCAAGTAAAGAGAAAGACCTAGGCAGGAGAAATGGTCCAATCATTCTGAGTCGGACGCATATGAAAGAGACAAGCACACATGGGACATACAAATTCCAAAGCTAGGCTGAAGAAGGAAGAATTACCCACGAGATTCATTCCCTGTTACAGCTTACTGTCAGTGGTATTTTTAATATAAATTAAAGCAAGTACGATTGCCAGTCGAATTGACCCCAGCTGCAAATTTGGTCAAATTGCCCTGAAGTTTTGGTCAAATTGACCCAGGGGGGTAGTTAAAATGTCCCAATTTATTTAAAATGATTAAATATAGGCCATAAATGCATAGTTTTGTCAACTTTGATATCATGTTCTTCATATAAAAGTATATACATAGTTATGAGTTTACTGATGGAACATTTATCAGAAATATTAGTTCTTAATAACTTTTATATGAAGAACATGATATCAAAGTTGACAAAACTATGCAATTACGGCATATATTTAATCATTTTAAATAAATTTGACCAAATTAGAATGAATGACCAAATTTGCTGGGGCATTTTGTAGCTGGCGCAGTTCCACTGGTACCCATGAGATAGATATCAAAATCAGTAAGAGATTTCACATGAGCTTGAAAATGTTTCGCTATGACGTTCTTTTCGGTTTGGAGCCCTAAATGCTGCAGACTACCCGAAACATTGCCGAATACAACGGCAAATCATGAAGTACTTGTTGCTTTCACTGTTTTCCATTTTGTCCTATTACGCACGTCGGCATCAGACTCGCTAATTGTCAGTAGTGTGTGCCGTGAAAGTTGTTCTGTGTTCACATTGGCTGACAAGATGCCATTCTAAGGCTATGGCCGAGTACTATTTCCATAACCAAACACTGGGGAAACATACATTGTCCTGACAAGTATTTAATAATTCACCAGTTTTCGGGGAATCACTTAGATGCGTCGCGAATATTATTTCTGCTCGACCAGGCTGGGATTTTGTATGGAGACTTGCTACGTTATTAATGAGAACTAGGATCCTAATTTTTTTTTCAACTCCAGCGTAATTTTTGTAGCAGATAATTTCTATTTGCCCCCGTCTGAAGCATAATTATTGTGTTTTTAAATCCCAGACACCCTACAGTCACCCATTTGACACAAAAGGAACTGCAATCACATTGCAAAAAATATAATTCTTAGGGACTGGTCATATACTTATAGGGGTGGGTTTGCTGGTTGGAACTGTATCATATTTTGCTGTCAAATAGTATTCTTGTTAAATGATATGGTATATTTTAAAATTTATTTTGAACTCAAGCGGTGCCTCCGTTCCGCTTGATTCCTCTTCTTCATCTTCACTGGAAGATTGTCTTGCAAGATGTAAAATCGGATCGTATTGATACGGTCTAACATCCATTTCAGAAATGACATCAGGAACACCTTTTACTGCTTCAGAATCCATGGACACTGTTAAGTTGTGAGGTAAAATCAAAGAGGCAGCCATCAGCAACAGGCACTTATGACGTCAAGTCACGTTATACCCCCTCTGCTCATAAACTGTCGGGTGTTTCCGTAAAAGGCGGAATTTATACGAGTATGTTTTTTGTGTTTTTATTGCTATTTTACAAACTTTTTGTTCAATTTTAATCACGGAAGGTGACTTTTAGAATATCCTTTACAATAGTTTTGTTTTCGTTCTGGATTCTCCTTTAAGACACGTCTCTGGATTACCTCTTCACTGTTGCAAATTCAGTGGGTCATATTCAATGTGGAGGAAGTAAAGTGATAGTTTGTACGTAACACTGATACATCAGAAATACTTAATTTCAATACAATTTTAGACAATGATCTTTTTGAGAAAAAGTGCAATATTCTTCACAAGACTACAAGTTAAACAAGGAAAACATCTCCACTGAGACAACAGTTACTCCCTGTCTGTCGGTTTGGAAAATCCAGCTTCCTGAGGAGACATACTCCACAAAAAATACAAAAGTCTGCATCTGTTTACACTTCCTGACGTGACTAGAGCAGAGTAATATTATACCTGTGAGTATAATTCTGTCTTATAATTCTGGGGGTTACGGGTATTATACCAGCACCATACAGACAAGACAGAAATTGTCAGCAGGGCTCCCTAATAATCCTGTGACTCCCAACATAACCTCAACAACAACACTAAATACGACCAACGAAGATCCAGGTTAGAATTGATCTTCAGTAACCCATGCTTTTCGTAAAAGGCAACTAATGGGATCGGATGATAATGATTATATAGATATTGGTTGAACAATACTGCCATGGGAATTTTTCCTGAGATCAAGAGATGTAAATTTGCTATAATTCTGGATACATTAAAAATATCATACGAAGACTTGCACTGCAAATCTCAACAGATATGGAACGTGACATTCGCAAATTTGATAACAGTCCCAGGACTCATGAAGGAAAAGTGTCTGGATTTCATCTGTCACTCAACACAGAACAGCCATTATTTCCCATGCCTGATGATGGTGGCAGACAAAGTGAAAGCGTTCTGCATGTAGCATCCCTCCATGGCGGTCAGAGTGAGTGAGTGAGTTGAGTTTTACGCCACACTCAGCAATATTCCAGCTAAATGGCGGCGGTCTGTAAATAATTGAGTCTGGACCAGACAATACAGTGATGAACATCATGAGAATCGATCTGCGCAATTGGGAACTGATGACATGTGTCAACGAAGCCAGCGAGCCTGACCACCCGATGCCGCTAGTCGCCTCTTTAGACAAGCATGGATAACTGAAGGTTCATTCTAACCCGGACCTTCATGGATGACATGGCGGTCAGTAGATAATCTGGATGGGGTAGGGTGTTGGCTATAACATTTTGTGCTTCTCAGGTCTCACTCTGGCCTGATCTTGATCTGGTCAGGGGACAGAAGCAGAAGGTCTTGTGGGGAAATAACTTGGAAGGAGGAGTAGCACTTCGTTGTTGATACAATAGATGACTGTGGAGTAGTCTTTCATGATCACCACCACTTCTGCCAAAGGAAGATCTGAGTGGACTGGATAGAACTAGGTGAACATGATTTTCCACCATATGTTCAAATAAGAGGTTGATAGTCCTCACATGGATGACAGACAGTTGGTATTAGTTCTGTCACTTCTGCTCATAAACAATCCACCCTGATGTTAGAGTAGTCAGCTAACATAATCCATCCAGCTGTTTGATGGCCACACACAGGAACAACAGTAAAACAATATAGCAGCAATAGACAGTATACTCCATGGGCATAGTGTACATTGAACAGAAGACATGCCGAGTGATGGATTAGAGTGAATGAGTGAGCATGGTTTTATCAGGGATTTACAGGACGTGAATTCCTGCGTCCTATACGCATAAAAATTGACAATGGACGCGACGAAATGTATTAGCGCATTCACAGGGATGCAGAAAACGTCCAAATACTTTTGGTAAAAATTCCAATCAAGTAACAATAAGTTATCACTGAGTTTGTTACTAGCTGGGTTATGACATCATTTGCAATTTAATTACTGTAACAATCAACGTGAGGATCATGATACACAATACAATATCAGTATTAATAATAATATTTAAGTGTCTGGGATCCCCATTTTGTAGTCCAGGACCCCTGAAAATTATGAGTATGAGTCCCAGGGACCTTCAGATACAGGACTCAAGGTAAACCCCTGGTTTTATGCCACTTTTAGCAATATTCCAGCAATATCACAGCGGGGGACACCAGAAATGGGCTTCACACATTGTATCCATGTGAGGAATGGAACCCGGGTCTTCAGCGTGACGAGCAAACGCTTTAACCACTAGGCGATGGATTAGAAACAATTCAAGCAAGGGTATCAGTATTGTTGAACAATCTTTCTGAGTTCTATGACCCAGGTGTTCCCACCATGGGGAAGTAAAGCACAAACCAATGTAATGGGAGGAAACTGGAGGGAGCAGTCACTGGGACCTTACTACAGGTTCAACATCAACATCACAAACTCTGAAGTCTTCTTTATCCTTTCGACCTGAGAGCAGTAATGTATTGTAAGTAAAATATTTAAATATTACAATATATTGAGACTACTGAAAGTGTAGCATCACACTGATGCTAATATGTTGTCACTTTACTGTTCCAACAATCACACAATGTGTGGGTATCAGACAGTGCTCACCGGACATCCATATAGGACTCTCCACGATGTAGTTGCCACTCCAAGGCTGTCTGGCTGTCATCAGGGAGTCGCGGTCCCAGGTCAGGCCCTCATAGTAGCTGTCAATCAGGTTCCAGGCTATAGTGCTGCAAGAGAGCAGGCCAATAGTGAGTGAGTGAGTGAGTGAGTGAGTTACCACTTTGCAGTGTGGTAAGGTGCATGGAAGTTGCTCCCTTATGCTACTTATACATGTTCAGTGCTATATCTCGGTGTCAAAACTTTATTTCACAGGTTTATGTATTCTTAAACATTTTATTACAATTGATAAAGTTTAATGTCATTATGATTTCCTGAACAAAAATCCCAAACAACTCGTAGACTGTATGCAAGATATATATGATAAAAGGTGCCACTGTTTTCCATTATATGAAAATGGTGTCATAGTGAATTGTGACTGCAGTTAAGAAATGCTACCAGCTTGATTCCACCTACCTTGTTAAATAGCGGTCAACATAGTTTTCATTTAATACCTGAAACAATGAGTTATTGGTTTAAGAGTCATGAAAAGAACAAGATGAAATGATCTAGAGAGTATCCATCAGAAGTAAATGTACCCACTTGTGTGGTAGTGATTCCTTAAACAAATGCTAGGTCACTGATTGATTTCACACTAGAGCAAGATTTCCACTAATCTATCATTTTTTCAAGCTGCAACAGACTGACTCACCCTGGCCCAGATCCACCTCTCCTGCTTATAGTTAAGGTAAATGGAACTCACCCTGACCCAGATCCATCTCTCCCCCTTACAGTTAAGGTAAATGGAACTCACCCTGACCCAGATCCATCTCTCCCCCTTACAGTTAAGGAAAATGGAACTCACCCTGACCCAGATCCATCTCTCCCCCTTACAGTTAAGGAAAATGGAACTCACCCTGACCCAGATCCATCTCTCCCCCTTACAGTTAAGGTAAATGACCCAGATCCACTCACCCTCACCCTGACCCAGATCCATCTCTCCCCCTTACAGTTAAGGAAAATGGAACTCACCCTGACCCAGATCCATCTCTCCCCCTTACAGTTAAGGTAAACTGAACTCACCCTGACCCAGATCCATCTCTCCCCCTTACAGTTAAGGTAAATGGAACTCACCCTGACCCAGATCCATCTCTCCCCCTTACAGTTAAGGAAAATGGAACTCACCCTGACCCAGATCCATCTCTCCCCCTTACAGTTACAGTTAAGATCCATCTCTCCCCTTACAGTTAAAAATGGAACTCACCCTGACCCAGATCCATCTCTCCCCTTACAGTTAAGGTAAATGGAAGATCTCTCTCCCCCTTACAGTTAAGGAAAATGGAACTCACCCTGACCCAGATCCATCTCTCCCCCTTACAGTTAAGGAAAATGGAACTCACCCTGACCCAGATCCATCTCTCCCCCTTACAGTTAAGGTAAATGGAACTCACCCTGACCCAGATCCATCTCTCCCCCTTACAGTTAAGAAAATGGAACTCACCCTGGCCCAGATCCATCTCTCCCCCTTATAGTTAAGGTAAATGGAACTCACCCTGACCCAGATCCATCTCTTCCCCCTATAGTTAAGGTAAACTGAACTCACCCTGGCCCAGATCCATCTCTTCCCCTTATAGTTAAGGTAAACGGAACTCACCATTCCCCAGATCCATCTCTCCCCCTTATAGTTAAGGTAAACAGAACTCATCCTGGCACACATCCATTTCTTTCCCTCACTGCTGTTGAATGTGTTTGAGACTCACCCTGGCCCAGAGTCCACCTCCCCTTGCATTGTTATAGGCGCTGTAGTCTTCTGATGCCCACAGCAGTTTGCCAGTCTTCAGTGCTGCTAAAGGTGTGGCCTTCCTTGGGTAGTGAACTCTAAAACACACAAATGTACAAAAAGTAAGGTCAAGGATCATGCAACTTAAAAGCTCTTTTTCTGTTTTGTTGTTGTTTGTTTCTTGTTTAACAATGCACTCAGCAATATACTAGCTACATGGGTGCAGTCTGTAAATAATCAAATTTGACCAGCCAATCCAGTGTTCAACGTCTTGAGCATTGATCTACACAATTGGGATCAATGAAATGTGTCAACCAAGTCAGGGAGCCTGACTACCCAATCCTGTTATTTCAAGAAAGTACAGCCAAACACATAATCAGTATACCTTGATCTAATATAAATAAATTTGAAACTGAAGTTTCCCTTGGGAAGTTGTGTTTCTACACCAATGCTTTCACAAACAATTCAATGTAAAATATATCGGCTCGCCACTTAGGCCACCATACACAGCTCTACTTTAAACGTGTGTAAATCCGACAGCCAGATGATAGTTATATTTCAACATTGTTAATATGTCTGCCGGATGAAACGTATATTTCCTAACGTAAGTAAATTTGGGAAATACTGTTCCATCGTGTGGTGTATATTGATGCATGATGTTATGGATGAGGAACACAGGACAAGCTGCTTCACGTACACAACGGCTGTCTCCACCTCATCAATACATGGCAGCTACTAGCAGCTCAGTTTATGAAACATGTGTCCTGTCAGAAGGACCATCAGAGTTTTACCCAATAACGTCCACAGCCGAGGCCAGATCTGGATCTTTTAGGATGTCATTCTCTATGCCCCACGCTCCATTGTCTCCTGCCACAATACCCACATGGGAGAACCCATGTACATCAAGTTCCTGTCTCAACCTCTGGTAAACAAATAACATATCATGACATTGCGTAGACATACAACTTTTAAGTCTAAGCTTTGTGTGGGGCCCCAAAAGTTCTTTTTTAAGGTAACTTCCTTAAAGGTCACATGCAACCAAAAAATCAAACATAATTAAAACACAATTATCACTTATTCATGACATATAATATACATTGCTGGTTATGAAAAAACATATAAACAAAATTATAAGCGTACAATCGCAAATCAAAAGTGCAATATTGTGTACTTGGGTTTACTTCCCAAGAAACAAGCAGCCGGGATACCAAACCCAGTCAGAGCGGGTGGGTGTGCACTCAAGTGTAACGGCTGGTTCATTTGCAGATGCCGTCACGGCTCATTGTGTGTGTATATATAGAGATGTTGGGTTTTGTAAATACATGCTCATTTTTTGTGTATAACATTTTGCAATCAACAGACATCATAACATGTCATGTGTACAAGTATCACACCTGCCTGTCTGTGTAATTACATAATGTGACAGAGACCGAACTCGGGCCATAAATCAATGCGTTTTGTTTATGGTGTATAGCCCGATAGGTGTTAAGTTCAAATTGCATGTGGTCAGTGATAGCAGCTGTGTATTGAATATTGTCATTAGCAGACAGGCAGGCAGACACACAGGTGTCAATAAAACAAGACATTGAGTTTTGTCTGTGACAACGACATATCTATATCACAGTAAGAAATTCTGTCAACGCTAAATAATGACATTGCTTTTAAGTATCGAACTGAGAAAGTGACTCGGTAAGCAGAACGTGTGGTGAAATAGATAAATGAAATTATATAAACAGTTAATTTACTGTCATAACAGGCTCCGCCTGTGAGATATCAACAAAACATTAGAAAAATAGCTCACACCAAAGCCTTCACCGAGTATTCACCGGACAACCCGCTTCCAAGCTGCGCGAACCTATTTCACTGCGCACGTGCTATGAGCTTAGTCCAGCTGTTGAAACCAGCGTTCCCGAAAAGTCAGGGGAAAATTAGTGAATCGTTTGAACTAAGATTTCGCACGGTTTTTTTCATCGCGTTATTTTTCAACTTTATAAGTTGAATTTGCATTTTTGACGATTTGTTTCGGTAAATCCATACCGAAAGGTATCAGAATCTGCAAAGTTGTGTTTTACGTTGCATGTGACCTTTAACAATTTAGGGAGTCCAGGTTTTCTTATGAAAAGATCAGAATGTCTCCTATTTGTTATGGTTAGAAGGCATATGCTTTGAAATGGACATTTGTTTATGCTGAATTGATATGACTTGATTAAATTTGAGAAAACATCTACAATACACTTTCATTAAGGTTCTATGTTTGTATGAGGAAGAGGCAATATAGTTTGATAAGCCATTTTGTAAGTTTAACTTGAAGTCACAAAAGCGGAAGGTATCCAAAGTAGTATCATTATACCTTTGCATTAATAGCTTCAGTATCGGACACTGGTTATTGTAGGCGTTCATGAATAAACCCAGTATCAAAGGTTACTGTGACACGTGGTACTTACCTTAATGTATGTGGTGTTACAAGCTCGTTCATTCCATACCTGCAGTAGAACCATTCATTAAGAGAGCATTTGATACTTAATGCATCTGAATAGGATCACCATTATTCAAACCCAATGGATATGCCTGTTTCCTTAGTAGCTCCATACCCCAATGTAATCTATGGACATGTGGTGGATATCTCAGGCTCCTTAGTGGATCCATACCCAGATGTAATCTGTGGTCAGGTTGTGGATATCTAAACTCCCTAGTGGCTCCATACCCCGATATATACTATCTATGGACATGTGGTGGATATCTCAGGCTCCTTAGTGGATCCATACCCAGATGTAATCTGTGGTCAGGTTGTGGATATCTAAACTCCCTAGTGGCTCCATACCCCGATATAATCTATATATGGTCAGGTTGTGGATTCCCTAGTGGCTCCATACCCCGATGTAATCTATGGTCAGGTTGTGGATATCTCAGGCTGCCTAGTGGCTCCATACCCCGATATAATCTATGGTCAGGTTCTGAATGTCCCAGGCTCCCTAGTGGCTCCATACCCCAATATAATCTATATATGGTCAGGTTGTGGATATCTCAGGCTCCCTAGTGGCTCCATACCCCGATATAATCTATGGTCAGGTTCTGGATGTCCCAGGCTCCCTAGTGGCTCCATACCCGCATATAATATATGGTCAGGTTGTGGATATCTTAGGGCCTGTTCGATTATTGCGAAACTGGTTTTGGTTTCTGAAACTGGTTTCCCCTGTTATAAACGAGTGTCTAGTTTCGGATATATGGTTTCAAAGTGAAACTAGTTTCTAGTTTTATAAACGAGTGGATGGTTTCACCATCCGGTTTCAAAATCGATACAAACTAAATGTCTCAGCTATTATATACAAAGCAGCAAAAGAAACGTCAGTTTGGAATTTTCCTTCGCAGAAACGGATAACTGTAAACTCATTTAATGTTTTGATTGTATATTTTTGACAACATCTCCAACTTGACCTGAGCAAAGACATTCCTTCCCAAACTCAGAATGGAACCCAGGAAATGGTCTCAAAAACGCAACCTGATCTCGGAGTTGGTACAGTGTTCTCCATGTTTTTCATGCAACTCATGCTGCACGTGCTGTTCACAAGGACCAGCCCTATAAAATGCACCCCCAAACCTGGTTGAAACATTCACATTACAACGTTAGCAGGATGGCCCTTCTCATCACAGCTCAGAGGAACCAGGCGCTAGGAAGACTTGAAGATGGCCACACTGCACAAGCCGTTGCCAATCACTCCCAGGTCAATGTTCGGACCATCTACAGGCTGCAGCAACGTTTCCGGGCCACCAACACCACAAATGATCGCCCCCGTACTGGCAGACCAAGGGTGACCAAACGACGACAAGACCGCCATATTGTACAACAGCATGTACAGAATCCCTTCATGCAGGCATCCGAAACAGCACGCCAGACAGTGGGAACACACGGAAGACCAGTCAGTACTGATACAGTACGCCGACGTCTTAACAGCGGGAACCTCCATTGCCGTAGACCTTACAGGGGTCTACTGTTTGCCCTACAACACCAAAACTGGTGATACAGGCAATGGAGAACTGTTCTGTGGATGAGAGTCGGTACTGCGTATAAACTGCAGATGGCAGAACAAGAATATGGCTACGACGTGGCCAGCGTTACTCAGACCAATGTGTTATGGAAAGAGACTCATGGGGAGGTGCAAGCATCATGGTATGGGGTGGAATAGGCCTGAACCAATGAGTGGGTCCTGTGGTGTTCTGGAACCTTGGTCCAGGGAGAGGAGGCGGCATCACAGTGGTGCGCTATGTACATCGACCAAGCTCTCAGACCCAACGTCATACCACATTTCGCATGTCACTGGAACAAGATTTTCCAGCATGATAACACCCGGGCCCATACTGCCAGAGCTACACGGGACTTCCTTCAGCAGAACGGTGTCAACATTATGCAGTGGCCAGCCCTTAGTCCTGATTCAAACCCAGTTGAACATCTTTGGGATGAAATTCAGAGGAGACTGAATCATGTCATACCAAGGCCGAACACAGCCGATTTATTGTGCCAGGCCTTTCTCAGAGTGTGGTTCAAGGTGCCAATGGCCTTCATCAATCGATTGGTGCACTCCATGTATAGATGCTGTGCTGTAGTTATTGCCGCTCGTCGTGGTCACACTAGCTACTGAAGTCAAGGGTCTGAATGACCTGCAAACATTCACGTAATGTCTTGAAATTGTGCTGAGTTATTCATTGATGTGTCAAGATATTGTACACAAAAAATGTAATTTTCTGAGTAAAATTGATATTTTATACTTATCCTGACTCATGCTATTTTGCTTGTCTTCTTCTCCTTGCGAATGTTAGTGGAACACTTGAAACCCCTTTTTGAAGATCCCTTCAAAAAAGCAGATGTAAAATCACTACACACCAAGAGTTATCTCCCTTCCCAGTTTTGGCGGGAAACGGCGCCACCCGTCTCGCAGCTCCTCACTCTCTCCATATTTCAAGCCCGACACTTAGATTTGCTGGGAAATCCAAAAGTGCCTTGAGGGGAGGTTGGGAGGGCTGATCTCATGAGTCAGGATAAGTATAAAATATCAATTTTACTCAGAAAATTACATATTTTTCCTTATCCTGACTCATGCTATTTTGCTTGTAGAATCCCATGGATTTGGTGGTGGGTCATGCCACTTCTGGATTCCAAGTTTGGTGATTTACGTCCTGCATACCCCCCTATGGGAACTTCATGGTAGCACTGTTAATTTACTGCTAGGTTCTGTTGCTGCTGCCCTTGCTTCCAGCTTTCTCTGATGGGGGGACCACAACTTGTCAACTTTTGGTCCTTTCTTCTGTTAACATTATGTGTGGATTTGAGCAACTCCATCTCTTGATGCATGCATCAAGTGGAGAAGCGACCCTTCTTATGTACGAGTACGTCCTTACAAGTACAGGGTCTATCACTCATGCTGGTCTGTCTTAGACGTGCACATGGACTCTAAAGCTCTAACTCCCCAGAGTGTTGGCTTTTGCAAGTCACGTGATAAAGGGCGAGAGACTGTCTCAGCGCCTCTGTGGAACTGTCAGTTGTTGCGCTACAACAAGAGGTCCGAACTGGTGAATACAGGAGACGTCCTCGGTGGCGATGTCTCTCAGGTAGTGGTTGGCAAACACCATGTCTGATTTCCAGAAGCAGCCCTCCATTATCGTAGTGATGGAGCAGTTTCCATGTAGAGCGAGTGTTGACGCCAGAGCTCTAACTTCATTTGGATTGGAGGCTCATGGAGGATCAAGTCCTGCTGCTTTATAGGCCCTTAGGATGACAGCTCTCATCCATATTGATATCGTTGTGCGAGAGATCTCTGTAGGTGTCTCTGCCGATATAGGGATGAAAAGGCACTTGAATTTTCGTCTCCTGGTCCTAGACCTTTGTAGGTAGACTTTTAATGCTCTTACTGGGCACAAGGATAGGTCCTGTGTATCCTGAGGCCCAAGGACTGATGATAATGCTGGGATGTGGAACTGTCTGTCAGGTTGACCTGGTAGTTGATTCTTTGCTATAAAGTCCCATCTTAGTCCCATATGTACGATGTTGTGTTGCGCATCAAATCGTGTCCCTTCAAAGTCCAGAGCATGTATTTCCGACATCCGTGCTGCTGTTGCGAAGGCAATCAGGAATAGAGTTTTCTGTGTCAAGAACTCATAAGATGTCCTATCTAATGGTTCATAAGCGTCACTGGTACGATGCTGTAGAACTATATTGAGGTCCCAAGCCGGAGCTTTAAATCTCTGTTGTTGGTCCTCCAATTTGAAGGATCGTAGTAAGGCCAGTATCTCGGGTACCTTAGTCAGTTTTACACTCGTCCTCATGGTGATAACTGAGCTCAATGCCGCTAGGTATGTTGAGAGTGTTGAACCTTTTAACCGATTTGTTTGTTTTAGATGACAAAGACAGTTCGCCACTTGAGGGTGTGTCGCTTTCATGGCTGTGAAGCCCTTCCTCAAAGCATAGGTCTCAAAACTTTGCCACTTGTCGTCATACAAGTTGCAGGTTGATTTGCGTAAAGCTAGCGTGACCGCTTTTGCTGCCCTGGCGGAGTATCCTCTCTCATTCAAGCAAGCCTTGATACGGTCCATGCGTGTAGGCGGAACACTGTGGGGTTCCCATGTGCTTGCTTGGTGTGCGGATGTACTAGCAAGTTCGTCCACACTGGTAGTTGCAGTTGAGGAGGTCCTAGTTCTTGTATGAGAATGGGACCCCCCCCCCCCCGGCCAATAAGGTGCGACCAAAATCAGTTGCAGGTTATTACAGCTGGAGGGGGGAACGCGTAAGCGTTTAGTCCTTCCCAAGAGATGCTCAGAGCATCTGTTGCCCATGCTCGTGGATCTGGTATTGGAGAGACGAATGTTGCCAGTTGATTGTTGAATCTTGTGGCGAACAAGTCTATGAGCGGAGCTCCCATCTGTTGTATGATCTGTTTAAAGATCTGTGGATGTAGCATCCATTCTGTTGGGGATGGTTGTGTTGGACGAGATAGTGCGTCTGCTATCACATTCTTGGCTCCTGGAATGTGGCATGCTTTTATGTGGATGTTCAGATCGTCCGTTATGCTGAACAGATGAAAGAAAAGGTCCAGAAGGTTCGCCGACCTTGTCGATCCTTGTTTGTTTATGTAGAACGCCACTGTGGAGTTGTCCGTATGTACCATCAGATGAGCATTTTTTTAGAATGCTGGTCCAGTAGAGTATGGCGTTTATGACTGCTTTCATTTCTAGCATGTTGATATGCAGACTTTTCTCCTGTAACGTCCATTTCCCAGCTGACACTTCGTTGTCGAGGCGCTCCCCATCCCTGAAGAGATGCGTCCCACGTAGAGATGAGTTTTGCACTCGGCTCTGCTAAGTAGGTCCCTCCGCAACCATTCGATCTCAGAGTCCACCATAGTAGATATGGTTTTAGTCTGTCCGGAAGTCCGAAGGGGTCCGGATCGTCCAGATGGGCATTCACGAAGACCTGTAGTGGGCGTAGTTGTAG